TTCCGTCAACCAATTTGGGTCCTGTGTATTCGTCCTCAATAACTAAAAAAATAATATCAAGATACTATCTTTTAATTGCTTATTATTAACAGCTCTAAATTCTTTGCATTATTTAACAAAATTTCCCATTTGAAAACAAGCAGTGTATAGCACTTTCTATTTTGTTTCTTCTTTTCTACAAAAGTTAAAGAATGTATAATCATATTCCAAAATTATATAATAAAAATTATTATAAAAATTACTTAGTAATACTACCAACTTTAAATTATTTGCATTTTTTGACAAGATTTTTCATTTGAAAAGAGAATATATATAGGACGACATTCTATCTTGTTATAAAAGTTAAAGAATATATAAACACATTAGCATAAAAAATCATATCAAAATTGCTGTAATAAATCAAAAGTTTGAAAATAAAATAAAAAATAAATAAATAAAAAGAATATATTTATAGTTTTGTATAAATCAATAAATAAAAATGAAATATAAATATTATGAAATATAAATATTATTAATGAAATATAAATATTATAAATAAATAAATATTATAAATATCATAAACTGACAAGTAGAATTTAAATAAAAAATAATGTTAAAGTAATTTATTCGTCTTATATTAAATGCACAATCAAATAATTGCTCACCCATGGCTTCTAAATTGATCATATCGGCTATATTTTTCTTTTCCTCTACAGAGATAGCCTTCTGGAAGGCTAATAATTTAACCATCTTATTACATTCGACGAATCTCTCATTTGCATCCTTGTCATTGGGCCTGGCCTTTACAACAGTTCTGTAATCCGTAAGGGCTAGTTTGAACTTGCCAAGAGACATGTAAGCAGCAGCTCTGCGATAGTAACCCTTTACATAATTTCTATCTAACTCGATGGCTTTGGACGCATCTGTCAGTGCGTATCCAAAGCATTCCGTCCTCAGGTAAGCGATACTTCTATTGCCATAGTACACAGCTACTGAGGGATTTAATTCTATGGCTTTGGTATATAATTCAATGGCTTTATCATACACTTGATCTGGAAAAAAAGGAAAAATTAATATAAAAATAATACCAAAATTTAAAAATTATTTATCATTTTTTGAAATTAATTTTATATTAATTTTATATTAATATTTTTTATATTAATATTATATTAAAATATTATATTATATAAAATGTTATATTAATATTATATTAATATAAAATGTTATATTAATATTATATTAATATTTATATTAATATAAAATTAATAAAAAAAATATATAATTATACCAATGACACAGTACATTTCAAGTAATATTTGAGAACAAGAGACTCGATTTTCTAGGAACGCAGGAATTTTTTGAAAAATATGAAAAAGAGGCCGATATAAAAAATTAGCTCTCGGAAAATAATAATAATTTTCTAATAATAATTATTTTTTGGATTCCTTTTTCTCGGTTAGTTGGGTTAGTTCGGGATACACGTGACTGTAGGGTGGATATAAAATATGCCGCGGGATACGAGCCCACGTGGACCACGTACTTTTGAAGTACACGTTCGCCTCCTCCTTGAAAAATTCCGCCTTCTTCGTGACTTCCGTCTCCGCTCCCTCGTTCTCGCTCATCCTGTGCGTGTGATGCGTCCGAGTCTCGTTAACGGGGATGCAGATCCGATATGTAACCCGATGGCGGCAAAGTTCACGCGGCGAAAAGTCACACGCTCGGGGTCACGCGGTCGCGTAAAAAAAACTCACGCATCAACGTGCGTTCCTCCCTCGTCGCACAGGGCGGCATATAAGAGAGCGTGCGCTTCCCGTTCCTCGCGACCCGTACCGCGAATTCCGCTTCTTTCCTCGTCCGCTACCTCCGGCCTCCTGACCGGCGATATTCGATTAATCGAATCGCTAATCGATCGTTCGTTGCGCGCGCGCAACAGAGGATGCCTCGTCTCGGCGCGAATTTTCGCCCCGTGCGAGTCGAATTTGACAATTGATCCTTTTCTTCATTTTTGTCATTTACGTACATTTTTGTATCGTGTCAAATGAGACACTCTGTATATGATATATACAGGATCCCATTTGATACAATATAAAAATGTAGCTGATACCTTCATTTTTATCATTTAGGTACATTTTTATATTGTGTCAAATGGGACACCCTGATATATCATATACAGGGTGTCCCATTTGACACAATATAAAAATGTAGCTGATACTTTCATTTTTATCATTTAGGTACATTTTTATATTGTGTCAAATAGGACACCATGTATATGATATATACAGGGTGTCCCATTTGACACAATATAAAAATGTAGCTGATACTTTCATTTTTATAATTTAGGTAGATTTTAATGTTGTGTCAAATGAGACACCCTGTATATGATATGTTAATATAATATACAGGGTGTCCCATTTGACACAATATAAAAATGTAGCTGATACCTTCACTTTTATCATTTAGGTATATTTTTATATTGTGTCAAATGGGACACTCTGTATATATGTTAATATAATATACAGGGTGTCCCATTTGATATGAGGAAATATTCTGAAGACAAAATAAAATTAAAAAAAAGATGAAACAAGTGTTACATGATTTTGAGAGGCGATCAAACTGACAATATTATTTATTTAATGCGTGAGCACTTTTAAGGCCATTTCAGGGTCAACTGTTTTTTAAGTGAAAGCCTATATTTTTTATTACAGAATCTTATTTTACGTAAAAGAACGAACTTTTGTCGGAAAAATTTTTTCGTACGATCTCTACTTTTTAAGATATTTTTTGAAATAACTAGAAAATTATTTTCATTTTTCAATAATTTTTAAATCGAATTTCATTAACTTTGCCGAAAAGTAGCAGAAATAAGTGTTTTCAATCTCATAATTTTCAACATTTTTATTCTGACGTTTCTGTAAAAAAAATTACATTTCGTTGTTACTAAAATTATTGTTAATAAAAATCTTTAAAAATAAACTAACACTGTTATTTATAAAATGTACTCTATTTGTACTTCATTTTGTAATTGTTAATCTATTATCCAATTATTTGGATATTTCCCTTTCTTGAGAATTCTTTTGTATACAAGTTTTGGAGTAAATCGTTGTGCAAAAATTCATCATGGAAGGAAAATCCGGTGATTACCTGCAATCAAAGATCTTTCACTTTTAATGTATATAATTTACTTGTAATTCTTTTCTGTTTCAAGTTTTAGAGATATTTTTCAAAATAAGAAAAAAAACTTTTAAGCACTTTTTTACAAAACTGAGATAATTTATAAAAGCTTTGAGAGAATTGTTTTGATTTTAATATTAACCCCTAGGAGAACATTTCTTTCAATTAAAATCGAAAATTAAATATATATAGTACAAACAAGATGCAACGATTTTGTTGTAACATTAAGACAAATCACAGAAATTATAAAAACTTGTTATTTTTTGAGTAACGAGTTATTTCTTATAATCAATAACGAGTTGCTCTTATAAAATAACTTTCTCAATTCTATATAGCATATTGTATTGTTCATATATTATTTTTTAACAACAGATAATATTATTTATTATAGTTTTGTAATTCTTAGTATAAATATATATCTTTAAAACTAGCTTTGAATTAAAATTCAATTAAAACAAGCTTTTGAAATTAATTTAAAAAATTAATTTTGTATTATTTGTTTGGCTATCTGTAGTTTTTCAATTGATTGAACTGAAGAATCATTAGGATTTCAACATTTATATTAAAGAAATATTTCAATATCTATCATCTAAAAATAATATTAAAAAAATAGAACTCTGATGTATGATAAATAATATAAAATAATATAAATAATATAAAATAATATCTTTCTTTTTTAAAAAGTTTCTAAAATATATTGTTTTCGAAATACTCGTGTTTCTTTAATGCATTTGCAGTTTCTTAATTTTTTGTGTAAATGACTGTGTAAAAATTTTAATAATTCTATTATAATTAAGTATACAATATATGATGGATATTAATATTTTACATATACAATATAGATATCCATCATGTTACATCAGAGCCGAAAAGCACGCTTTTGCCAGAAACAAATTTGTTTTATATCCATTTAAATAAAACAACTCTGATGTTACACCACAACTATTCTTAGCCTAAACTTTACTAATTCGCAAATATTTCATGATTAAAAAATGCGAATATTAAATTTAATTATATATCAGAATTACCACAATTGTTCTAGCAAGAATTATTTATATGAAAAGTTAAGGATTAGCGAATGCATAAGATTGATATATTGAAAAATGAGACATTTAAAACGATATATTTACGAAAATTTCAATAAGGTAAAAAATATGTATTTTTTTTTATAAAAAATGCAGTAGTATTTGCTTGTGGGGCAAATGTATTTACACTACAACATTTGTACACTTATATAAGGGATATTTTTAGACAGATATCATTTAAAATAAATGCATATAATTAAATAAGTAGATATATATATCAAATCATTTGATGTCAAATTAAGTCAAAACATTACATAACTATGTCATTTCCAAAGCATCATTATTTTTATTTTCAGTTTATGCAAACACCTGAATTTTCAAATTTTGATTCCGACAGTGACAGAGAAATATGCGCTTTCGAGTAAGTATTACCATGAAAATTTCCTAAGCAAACATCATATCCCTGCTAATAGAAAGTAAGCTAGAATATAAAAGAATTTCATTTATTACATTTATCACATGATTTGATCTTTCCATATAATATTCTTGCATATATATTTTACAATATATTTATATGCTAATATTTTGAATAATAAATTAAGATCGTGAATTCATATATAATTCAATTATTATTATGTAATATACTAAATAAATTCTAAATATATAATACACATATGTAAATTATAAAATATATTTATATAAGTATATATGTTATCTGATGAATTTTAAAAATTTTCAAAAAGTAAAATGTGTTGGAAGTTGTATTACAATTAAAAATACACTATACAATTTTTTTGACATTTAAATTCGAAAGTTTCTCTTAGATATTTTTCTGATAAAAGTGATATCAATTCAGATACATATATGTATATCCAGATGTAACCTCCAAATATTTCTTAAAGATTTTACCGAGGGCTTTGCCTTTGCCAAACCTAGTCAGCAGAACTGCAAAAAAACATCGTGCATTAGCAGCAAGTGTAGAGAACTGTTATCACCTGAAATATATCAATAAATAGCCATCCTCTGTCATTATGATGTCAGCCTCTGCGCGATAACCCGTTCTCCTTATCATTTCCTCCTAAAAGAAAAGTCAGTAAAATAAAATGTAAATACTTTAAAAGCTGATTTAAAATTGATTGAAATAAATTTTTACAAAAAGATACATATGCATAATTATTTTCTAAATAAATGGGGAATTTTAATATTAAACTTGAAATGCCAATATATCTAATTTTATGAAAATAAGTTATATAAAATAATAAATAATTATTTTTAATTATCTACAATTATCTATAATTATCTTTAATTATAAATAATTAAAATAATAAATAATTAAAATCCAAAACAAAATCGAATAGACATTAATTGTCTAATTACACAGGCAATTATAATTATCAGAAATTGCAGAACGAAATATTTTTGCATGATAAAGTATTAATATCAATGAAAATTATCTTAAAAAGAAATTTAGAGGATCATTATATTGTTATTCGCGTTTTTCCTCTCACTGCAATTGAAATAATTGTAATAACTATTTGACAATTATAATAAATATATAATTATGTATTTATACTTTTAATTACCTTAAACGTAATAAGCATAGAATTATAATACTAAGATAATATTCTTTTATATTTTAAATATCTGTATTTGAAAATAAAGAAAAATAATGTATAATGAAACAATTAGATGATATTAATAATTAAATATTAAAATAGCCAATATAAAAAACAAAAAAATATATATATACTATATACTAAATATATACTAAAAATATACTAAAAATATATATAAATACTATAGCAGATATTCCTAATCTTCCACAGTCTGTTCTTATATTTAAGATCATCTTAAGTATGGTCATAAGTGATTAAAATTAAAATTTCATATGGCCAATGAAATATAACATTTTTAAACTGTACTTAAGATGATTTTGAATAAAATAACGGACTATGAATACCGATTGGAATTTATATCTATTTTTTTTTTGTAGACACAATTAACAATGATGTATAATTTTGTAAAATATTTTGGTTTATGGAATAAAAAGCATCAATCATGCACAAGATAGTTTTCGAGCAATTTTTGACAAAATTAAATAAATTTAGTAAATTGAAATAATGAAAAATTGAATAAATTTAGTAAATTGAAATAATGAAAACTTTAAATCTCGCTTTAATAAATCAATCAAAAAAAATACACTTATTGTGTTGAGATCGACATCAAGATTGAATTCGTTTAACTGATTCCAGCTAGTCCATCCAACCAATTATTATTTCCATCAGCTCATTTGGTTCAAATGTTACATTTGTCATCGCATCTAGAAAACGAGAGTAGATACAATCAATCTTATTGCGACAAGCAATTCAAAAAATGAGTGCTGAGAATTCTTTAAAAAAATTAAAATATATAAAATAATTATATATAAATAATTAATATTAATTATTTGTTACAATTAATATTAATAATTAATAAATAATTAATATTAATTATTTTTTTATAATTAATATTAATATAATAATAATTATAATTAATTATAAATAAAAATAATTATAAAACAAAAATGCAAAAATAAGATGAATACAAGCGTGTACAGTTGTTTTTTATAATTATTTAATATTTAATATTGCAGTGAATTGTCATTCCGAGCTTTTTCCTTATTAGTTATGTGGCATCACAAAAAAATATATATATACATGTATGAGATACATAGATTGTTGAAATTGCAATATAAAAGAAAGTAGTTGCATGTATAATTAATGCTGTATGCTATGTGACAGTGTGATAGTAATATTTTGTTTTTCACATCGCTTTAACAAATTTTGTATGCAATTCCAATGTAACTTTGCCATCAATCAATTTAGGCTTTGTGTATTTATTCTCAAGAGACAATTAAAAATAATTTGAATATTTTTATTTGCTAATTTTTATTCATTAGTACTAGCTATGAATTATTTGCATCTTTTAACAGAATTTTGCATTTCAAAAAAATATATCTATCGCATTCTATCTTATTTCTTTTTTCCTAAAAATTAAAGAACATATAATCAAAATAATATAATATATATCAATATATATCAATATATCATAATCTTCAAAAATTATATCAATATTATTAATTTACATCCTAGTTTCAATATTGTTAAAAAAAAAGACATTTATACAATAATTTTATTTAAAAATATCACAAGTTAATAAACAAGATTTATATTAAAAAGTAATGTTACTAAAATCAAATATATTTGAGTATATGATTATGGTTTTTTTGTATCAAATTTTCTTGGAATCACTTCAAATATTTACCTACAGTTTCTGAATTCATCTTATGGGCATATTTTTCTTTTCCTTTAGAGAGATTCTTTTTTTCTGAAAGATTAATATCTTTTCTTCACATTCTTATCATTCCCATGCTTTTATGACAATTCTGTAAAGATTAGTTGGAACTTGCTGACAAACATTCAAGTAACAGTTCTGTGATCATCCTTTTATATAATTTCCATCTAATTGCTTTGCATCTATCAATGCATTTCCAAAGCATCTTATCTTCAAGTAAATTCTATGACTTTGCTTATAATATAATTTGATGGCTTTATCATACTGTAAGAAAAAAAATATAGTGATTAATATAAAATAAACAAAAATTATATCTCATTGTTTGTTTGCAATATATAACGCAGTAGGAAAAATTAATATTATATTCAACGCTCTTATTTATGCAAAAATTCATTCTTTCACGAGTTTGTTGAATCGTAATCAATTTGATCAACTCGAGATACATTTATTTGTTGAAATATTAAATATGCTGAGAGAAAAATACCGATCCCACAAATTCACAAATACTTGTTTGCCTCCTCCTTGAATTATTCCACTCTGGTTCATGACTTTCATCCAGGATCACCGTATCTTCGTCCTTGTCCTCGTCACTGATTTTCATTATCCAGTCAAACAGTTATCCTATTACTGTTAAAAATCCAGAAGTAATCATAATAAAAAAAATCCTTAAAAATAATTTACAGTTATTTTCTCCCAAAACAATCATTTTTAAAGAAATAAAACCTCAAAAAATAATTTTCCTCAAAAAAATAAAATATCATAACTAAATATGAAATCAATAATTACTATTAGCCAACTACTTGAGAGCATTTTGTAAATTTGATATTTGTCATGAAATGTTAATCTTACATTGTAGAAATATTGTACATAAATTTTCTCTAAGAAATTAAAATGCACTTTATTTTTGTTCAGAAAAACTTGACTTTTAAAATCGACACTAAATGAAAATTAGGATTCTTTTAATTCCTAAAACATTTTTTATATAATAAACATAATTTTAAAAAAAGTTTTAAATCGAAATATTATTGTGAGATATCCAGGAATAATCATAACAGAGAGAAGACTGAGAGATGTCATGCTCTGCTTTTAGGTGATTCCTGGAAGCGGATACTCCCTCTGTGGACATTAAAAACGTGAACATGAACTACAAAGCCAATATCCACGAATGTTCTCAGAGGGTAACATATATGTCTCTCTGATAATATAAATAATATAAATAAAAATATAAATAATTTAATTAATAATAATTTAATTAATATTAATTTATTATAAAAAATATTAGTATGTTGTCTCTTTTCACGCTATTATTTATTTATTTATTTATGTGTCTTCTTTTTCTTTTCAACATCATTTATTTATTTATTTATTTAGCTCGCTATAAGTCCATCTTTTAAAATGCGAAACTAAATATTATAGAATTTGACTTCGGAAAAGCGCGGTAAATAATCGAATAAATTCAATTAATTAGCTCCGTGATAAATTTTTTAATAAATAATCAATCTTAATCAATAAATTAAAATACTTCCATAATTTAATATTCCATGTTAATGTATATTTTATAATACAATTATTAATATAATAATTATCTCTCTTAATCTGATTCTTTCCCTTTGACCTATCCGGTATGGATGACCCTATCAGTAATTAAGGCCGATTTTATATAATCTTATATTTAAGATCGTTTCAAGTAAAATTTAGAAAATGTTTGTTATTTCATTGAAATCGAACAGAATCTTAACATGCGATCTAAAATCATATTTAAAGATGATTAAATATAAAAACAAATTGTATAAATACCGGCCTAATTACCGCCGGCATAGCTCTCCGGATCATTAAAGTACTCAAACCTCTTCACCCGGCAATGCCTTCGTTAAGATGGAGATATCATTGAGGAGGTAAAATTTTTTTACTTTATTTTTTTTTAATAGTGTACATTATTCAAATTTTCCAAATAGAAAACAATACAAAAAATTTATAAAATATTATAGTAGTGTATAATTACTAGGGTTGGGGGTAAGTTTATATTTTTTTTAAACTAAATTAAGTTAAAGTTAATGAGTTAAATAATTAATTTAGTTATGTTAAAAGTTATACAAATAAAAAATTAACTCAATAAAAGTTACGTTAAGATTAAATTAACGTTAGTTAAGATAAAAGTTAAAATTTTGAAAAGCATTATTTCATTTATATTAAATTAGATTGTAATTTTAAAATTAGATTATTCTAAATAGTAATAATATGAATCATCAAATAAATTTGAGGGAAAAGTTAATAAGTTTAAGTTTATGTGTTTTAAAAATAGTTAAAGTTAAAAATTAACTCTTTTTAAAATAACTAAGTTGAATTAAAAATTAAAAAAATTACGCTTTAAATTTCGCGAATATATATGATAAATAAATAAATTAATAATAATAGTAACATTTAATCACAATACACATAATTTCTATAATAATCGGAATACAACGTGCGCACACGCAATATAATTATTATCATTTTGTGCGATAATAAAAATATTGCAACATTAGAGGCGCATTTCATATAATTTGTACAATATTATAATTTTAATATACGTAAGGAATCAAACGCGGATGCAGAATCTAATATTCGATTTCTTTTCAAATATACATTTCATATAAATTTCGCGATCATAAAATGTATATCTTGTTCCGCGGATAATTGCAAACAGGCTAAACTTTAATTTCCTTATTCCTTAAAATAAGCGCGTTATCGCCATGTTCAATGAAGAATAACTGGCCCAACGATTAGACCAGATCAAAATCCCTCTGCCGAGTGACACGCTGGTTAATATCTGACAGAGAGAAGAATGATTCTAAAAGTGAAAAGCGACTTCAATTTGTCTTATTTCTTCTCTTGCGGATCTCGCTAAATCGATCCACAACGAATAGTTAAGTGATTCATTAAACATCAGAAGCCCCTCTACAGGAAGGAATTTTAATATTATATATTTTCAATACATAATATTAAAATTCGCGTGAAAAAACATCTTCCATTTTAAGAAATCTTTTTTTTAAAAAACTAAAAAATGACTGGATATATTAATTTTTATATACATGTTACAATCAAATATATTTAGGTAAAATGAAATACATGCGCTTATCGTTGCTTGGTTAAATGTGTGAATAATAATAATAATTTTAGGGTACCAAATGTGCTCAAAATTCGAGAAAAATCAAATCTGATAACAGCGAAGTTTAAAAAAAAATTCAATTTAAATATTTAGCAACATCAAATGAAAGATTATCAAGGAATAATTAATTTTTCTGTTGCATTTAACAGTTAACATTTAGCACGTAATAATAATTTGTAGATATCTTGTAATGACTGATATCAGAGTACCCATTCGATTTGTCTTGAATTTTTTAATTATTCACATATTTTATATTATATCATGCATTCCTAATATATTATTAAGAATAATATAAAAAAATAATTTTTCAAATATGTCACAATTTACGCACATGTATTTTATTATATATACACTTTTATCTAAAATAAACTAATTGTAATATACATAAGATAGTGGAGTATCCAATAATCCCTGCAAGTGATTTCTTAAAAGAGACCAAAAATAAAATTAATTCAAAATTAATTAATAAAATATACTTGTTTGTAACCATAATTTTTCAAATAATAAAACTTTTGCACAAAAATGTCTGCAAAGACTTATTAAATGAAATTTATATTTGAAAAAGTGAATTTTATCTATTATATACATTTTTTAACTATTATTAAATATTTTCATTATTAAAATAATATTGATATTAATAGAAAAGGTATTAATGGAAGAACATTTTTGATAAAAAAAAGAAAATATATCTTCTCTCAAAATATGTTTTATTGAATTTTGTGATTCGATTTCAAACAACGTACGGTGATCGTCGTTAAATCACTACCAAAAACATTGTTTCTAGGAACCGCCAAGAAAACCTGGGTTTAATTCCAACTCTGTAATGGAAACTTCCAATTTTTAATGAAGCATCGAACTAAGCGTTGAGGATAGATCCCTAAAATCGAAAAGAAATAATTCTCCACAATAAAATCGCTTCGACTATCCGCCAGTACGCGCATTTGCTAGCGTCATGACATAAGGAATAGCGATAAGGCTTTTTCGCCGAGACAGCGATCATATCCAAAAACGTGAAAAGAACGCAATTGTTTTCAATGTAATTTATTATAAAATCGTTCAATAAATATTTCACGTGACAATACGAAATAGATTCTCGATACGAAATACATTGTCGAAATACATTTAATTGAAAACGATAATCAAAGAAAATTATTTTGTTTTATAGATTTTAATTTCCGCGTGATCGATAATATTTAATTATCTTTCGTAATATTTTATTTTCGAATATACTTGTATTTTTGTAATATTAAAAGCGCGATAAATTTTACGAGTACAAAAGCTAATACCTAATTATTGGGTTAACATCGTGTCTCTTTTGATATTTTTAATAGTCTTTTAATAATCTTTATTATATAAAATAATTTTTTTTACGGTATTTGCGCGATTAGGAGAATTTCTCAAATTTATTAATAATCTTTTAGTATAAAAAGTAAGTTATCCAAATACTTTAATAATTTTACAATAAAAATATTCAAATAAAATATATATTAAATTTGTTAATTCAACAAATTTTGTTATTGTATTCTTCTACTTTCGTGTAATGTACAATAGATTTCTTCTACATCGTTACAATTAGATTACAATTTATATATAATTGCGTAGAAAATTATAAAAAATAAAATGTATTTTGATTTTTGCCTTATCATGTGTCATTACGAAAAAAAAATATACATATATATGTATGAGATACATAGATTATTAAAATTAGAATATAAAACAAAGTAGTTGCATGTACAATTAATGCATGCATGCTTCGATAATCTGATAGTAATAGTGATCCATGTTTCTCAATTATTGAATTAAATTCATTTTATTGTCTTTTACAAATTTGCCGTTAGTTTTAATCATTATTTCTTTTAGCATTTCACTTTTTATTTGTACCTTTAATTTGTGTTTATTTCACATTTATGATACAGTGAATTAAAAAAATTTTTAATTAAACTGAAAACTAAAAAATAAAGAAATATTAATGTCCAACTAGATCTTATGCATATATTTATAATTATTTATTATTTTTTGATTTTCATATTGTTTTAATAAATTTTGTATGCAACTTTAGTATTAATGCAATTTTAGTATTAATTAATTAAAAGGCCTTGTATGTATATTTAATCTCAAGAACTAAAGATAATTTAAATATGCGACTTTTTATTTATTAATGCTAGCTTTAAATTATTTGCATCTTTGAAGAGAATTTCTAAAAGTTAAAGACCGTATAATCATCTTAGAAAATTATATCAATATTATTTCTTTATCATAGTTTCAATATTGTTAAGAAAAAAACATATTTATACAATAATTTTATTTAGACACATTACAAATTGACAAATCAGATTTATGTTGAAAAGTATGTTATTAAAATATTTAACAATGTTACTGAAATCAAATATGTTTGAATATAATATATTTTTACACTTTTTGTATCTAATTTCTTTAAAGTTACTTTATATAAACTTATTACTTGTTATACGTTACGTTATTTGTTTCATGAGAACAAGTGAGATTCGATATCTCTTGTTTAAAAAAAAATTATTTTGTTTAACGCTTTTTTATTTATGTAAAAATTCGTTCTTTTATAAGTTTGTTGAATCGCGGTTAATTTAATCGGTTTAAGATACATTTACGTGTTTATTATTATTTAATATTAAATACACTTTAATATTAAATGCATTAGTCAAAAAAAAATAGGGAACACTTTTTGAACTTTAAAAATTGAGCTATTTTTAAACCGCTGAAAAATTATCATAGATAAAAAGTTAAAAAAGCATTTTGAAACTTGAGTATTAACTTTAACACGCGGTTGGTGGTTTTCAAAAATTTTTTATCTTCCTTATTCTGTGCTTCAAAAAAGAACACAGTGTTTAGTTCCTTAAAATTATGTATTTTTGACAATCGCAGAACGATAAAAAATTTTTCTCTCAAAATTTCTTTATCAAAGCAAAAAAGTGCTGGTTTATTTTCAAAATCATATTACTCGGTCAAAAAAAAATCGTAGGAAAATTTAAAAAAAGCGTTTTGTAGGCAAAATGTTGTAGTTTATGGAATTTTAGTTGAAAAGTTATCGAGAAGAATAAATCACAAAAGAAAAGGATATCAATTTTTCTCCAGTATCTTAAAAAATTTTAAAGAATAAATTTTTTTTAAACCTTGTAAAAAGAAATCTTTTACTTTTTTCTTTACTTATATTTTAATCTATAATCTATATTTATTAATATTTTATTTATTGGTACTTAATTTGTATTATCTCGCGTTAGGTTGGAATAATAATAGTTGGATTCGTTATTTATTTGCACAAAAATATATGCAAAGTACTTTTTTTAATATCTTCCTTAATTTCATATAAATGAAATTTGTAATATCATTATTATTAAAAAAAATAACTATAGCTATAATAGTATTATAAGCGTTACTAATTATACTATCAATCCTTATGTGTAACACCGAATAGAATATATCTGTAAACTTCTGGAAAATTGAAAAAAATTATATTTTATATAAATAAAATATAAATAAAAAGACGAAAAGATTTTTTGCAAAACTTTCCAAAAATTGATTATAAAGATTATAGAAAATTAACATCCCTTGTTTCACATATATTGTTAATTTCTACAGATTCAAAATGAACATCAGCAATATTAAAATTTTTTGGAAATTAATGAATAATTTTGATAAAATTCAACAAATTTTTTAAAATTAAAAATCCTGTATAATTGTTATATATTTGTTAACTTTTGCATGTGTTAAAAGTTAATTGGAATTGCAAATTTAGAATACCAGAATCTTTTTTTATTTTAAATTTTAAATTTTAAATTCAAACAATTATTTCGCATTAATGAATTAATCTTTAACAATATTCGCGTATATTACGTTATCTTAAGCACTCTCCGAAAAAGGATGTCATATGGTTTATAACATATGGTTTATATAAAGACTGGCACAAGGCTGATGACCATTTTCACCTTTCGAATTGTTAATTGCGAATTACATATTTTTTCTTAGAAACAACTATGTGATTTCTCTCATTATTTCGTACATAAAAGTATTAAGGTAAGATAATTGAAAAATGAATATTTTACAAGATATTTTATGGTTTATGTAAAATTAAGAAATGATTTCAAGCCTCATAACACGATAAGTACTTCATGGAAAAATAATTTATTATAGTGTTTTGGAAAGCTCTCGAGATAAGCTACAAGAATGTGCAAAAATATATAGGGTTTTCCATTTAAGAAATTCAAAATGATCTTCACGTAACTTTCATGTGACTCTTCAAGATGAAACTAATGGCATCTTATGTCATCCTAGAACCAAACAACTTTTGTTTGAAATATCTTTTTCTAAAATTAAGAATAAGAAAGTTATTTGGGGTGGGACATTAAAATGGGACACCATGTATATATGTATATATAATTTGAAATTAATAAAAATTAGTTGTTATTTTGTCTACATTAGAAACGTGAAAAATATGTTTCCTTAAATATGATTTTAAAAACGTTTTTATAGAAACGTTTCTTATTAATGTTTTACGAATAAAAAATATCGGATACGTTTAAGAAACGTATATAAAACGAATATATGCTACCTCGGGCATCATATATATTTTTGCATATCTTAAAGTTATTTATTGACGACAGCCACGTGTCATAAAATTGTGTTTTGTCATCTATTGACGTAATTAAAGGTTAACTGTCCATTTTTAAAGGTTAACTGTCCATATCAATGCTGTCTGGTTACAATGCAGCGGAAATTAAATCACTTCAAATTTTGCCTCGAAAATATTATAGTTCTAAGAAGTGACGTAAAAGAGATATATTGAATCCAATAAATATTATTGTTATATGTATTACCTAACTGATAGAAATAACTTATTGTTAATTAATGAAGAAAAAATTGAATATGCATGTATTAATATTTGAATGTTTGTTTTCTTACGATACTTATTAGATATTCAACATGTGTACTTTTGTATTTTATATAAGATCTCCACACTTTTTAATATTAACCATTTTGTAAATTCGTAAATGTTAATACACAATTGTAGTTTTCTTTTCAAGCTTTTTTATATTATATTTCGGAGTTTTTTCCTATTTCAAATTGTACATATAAATCTTTGTACATACATATATCATTGCTAGGGAGGGAATAAATTTTTATAAATTTCTAAAATATTTGAAAATACGTCTATTATTATGCATGAATTAAAAAAGAGACTATTATATAAATACTTATTTAATTATTCTTAGTTATTCTTGACATATAGAATTATATATACATATAATTATTCTTAATTATGCTTAGCAGAATGTTTCTTTAAAAATATAAAAATAGTTTTGAAAATAATAATGTTGTATATCATTTAATATATGAATGGAGTGAATAAGTTACAAAAGGAGACCGGAGCATTAGAAAATCACTTTTTTGAAAAAGTAATTGATTTATAACGGGGAAAGAGAGAATTTGATTGGATGCACTAATGCACACTGGTGCATATAAAAATTGTCGTATATAAAATAACAATAATATAATTAAAATAATAAAGTAATTAATATTATTAGTTTTTTATATTATTTATTATATTAAGTATATTATGTTAAGTTAATATTAAGTAAAATTATATTATATACGTTATTATAAGTTTATTCGATGCAAATAACGATAATAATAACTCGTATAATTATTTTATTTATTTTAGTTATTTATGTGCTATTGAAAATTTATATTTATTTATACTAGAACTACAAGATTTATATTAAAAACGCTATGTATTGATTCAAACTGAATTATATGAATGTCACAGAAAACGTATAAATCAATTGTTTAAATCGATTATTATATTTTCTTATAATCAGAATATCTTTTTATATGATAAACGTTCCCCTTATGCCAAAGAGAAGATACTCAGAAATAAATTAATATAAAAAGTTTATAATAAAATTCATTAAACAATTATATATACATATAATTATTTTTATTTATACATTGAACTATTTTTGTTTTATACATGTATAACTTTTTTGTCAAATAATTTTTAAAAATTTTAATTCTCTTTGAACGCGAGTATCTCCGTGGAAAAAAATAAATTACAAACGGAATGCAGTTAATGAGACGTCATGGCAACACATGATCAGATTGATCATTCGAAGTCAGTTAGTATTGTGACCGCTAGTCAAACACACTACCGCGGTACTTATCATTTGATTTAAACTGCATCATATGAATATCACAAAAAATTGTGTACGAATGTGGATTTTAAAAGCATACGTAGTAACACAATTGTATATAGTAACACAATCGTACGAACGAATTGTCATAATTACATATTTAATAAAACCAAAGATATAATAAATATTCAAGTGAATTCGATTACACGCTGCGTGTGCTTGAATATGGCTGAAAATGTTACAACATCTATAATTCTATAACTTCTCTTGTGTGTAATTTGATTGTGATTATTTTTTTATCGACGTTATTCTACTATAATATTAATAAAAAAGGCTAATAATAATTATATTCCTTTGTTTGCTATACAATCAAATCATTTTGTATTATTTTGCATTGCCATTTGTTCTCCTAAAAAAAATTATTTATTTTCTAAGAATTCCCTAATTTAATCTTAAGATATATATTGTGTTTCGACCATAAAGAAAAATCTAAAAACATAATATTAGAAGATAATAACTTACGATTCGTTAAAACTGAGTTTTAAGAAATTTATCGAAAATAAATTTATATATATTTGAATTAATATCAATTCGATTAACACATCAGAATTAGTAGAGTGAGAAAAACAATTAACTCAGAATTCAACGGGAACTGATTGAGTGCAAACGTTTACGAAAAATGCAAATCATGTTTGGAACAATTTTCTGTGTTTTATTGAAAGGTTTAGTATTAATAAAGGCAACTATCACGCCGAATGATTATACCACTTCAAACATCCTTCAGGAAGAAAATGTTTCCATGCGTCCGGAATTAAATTTCACGCAGGTAAGAGATATTTTCGTTTGATTAAGAAACAATTGAATGTTATTGCAGTTAGTAGTGTACCTAAACAAGAATGAAAATAAATTATATATTTTACATATAATAAGGTAAGATAAAATAAAATAATTCAATATGAAAAGAAAAGTATGTACGATGTAAAAAAAGATGGATAAAGTATATATATATATATATATATATATATATATATATAAAATAATTATTTCTAAAAATAACAATTATTAAAATTGATGAAGTTTTGTGTCTACTATCTGCTACATTAATATATACATACGATGGCACTTCAACAGATTTTTATGTTATTTTTCAATTTTTAAAAATTTTTTATTTTCCTAGATATATATATAATAATATTTATCGATCTAAAGTAAGCTTTATATTAATGTAGATTTTATTTTATACATTAATTTAGAAAGTTAGCATCATTTCTTTGTGTTTAGGATAATTATATAACGGGACAGAGCTACTAAATATCGAGATAGAAAATCTGTCTGATAAAAAAATCATTCGTTAAACATTCTTCAAGTTGTATCTATTAACGCTAATATTTCGATCGACAATATATTCAACAACTATCGCTAGAATTTATATTAATTTTTATTTGTACATATATTCATTTATATACAACTATATACACATATTCTTATCGAGACATTATCGGTTTATATTTATTATTTGCTGAATTTGTGTTAAAAATATAACGAACATTCGAAATAATTCGCGAAAAAACTTGACAAGATAATAAATAAAAGAATTTATATAATTCTATGACTAATATTTAATAACTGTAAAGAAACAATATTTTTAATCTTTGTATTCTTGAAGTACAAACATTAATAAAACTTTAGTAATATCGGCACATTTTTAAAAAGAAATATGAGTTACGCTATAATTGAATAGAGTTAACTAATTCATCGTGAGAAAGAATCAAATCGTTAGACAAAATTGTTTTAATAATTGCAAAGAGCTTTCGCTTGTACTTGACAAAGCTGTTATGAATCTTCATTGACTCTCGTTAACCTATTGATTGATTTTCTTTTTGATATGCGTTATGTTTGATATAGAAGATGCCTTAAAAAAATAAATTAAAAATAGATTTTATGATATAAATAAAACTACATCACATTTAATTTATATCATTTAGGAATGGTATATATCAAACCGGTATTATTAAGCAACCACGAACCAAAAACGAATGTCAATTTTTTGTTTAATTTTATATATTATGTAATTTATCATTAAAAGCCAGAAACAATCGCCTGAATGATATTCACTTAATTCTTTTCGTATGTTACACTTTATGAAGGATATTTCAATGTCCGAGAAAAGTGATCATCATATACTAAATTTCAAATCTGACCGGAGTCATTCTGATAGTACTGTGAGAAATGAGCGAGAAGTCGATGAAGTTATACTTGCAAATATTTCTATCATTCCAGAATCTATCGGTAAGATGCAAAAAAATAAAACATTAATAACAAAATCTATGATAAAAAAGTGTAAATATAATTTAAATTCAAGAAAGAGTGGCAATCAAATCTAAAAAGATCTTCCAGTATTGAAAAGAACATAAATTTTAATTCTGCTCTAAAAAGAAACAGAAAAGCATAATATAAACATAACATTGTACATAAAAATTGTTATAATTTAAGGTAAAATCAATTTTATTAATATGTTACTCTGTTTTAAAGCAGTCGCAAATATTATACTTCTGATTTCTTAAGCTATAGGAATTTTTCGAAAAGTACTTGTCGTTTTAGTAAAAGTTATTTATTTTTGCCATGAATTAACGATTATTTTTTTAAATCTTAAATGACGCAAAAAATTCTTATATTATCTTTTTGAAGATCAATACTGTGCTAATTTTCATATTTTGTAGTTTACATTTATTTTTTCTCTTTCCTTTATTTTCACATTAAATTGTTCTTTCTGATTTACTGAGATAATCCACTTAATCTTATATATAATTATGTTAATATGTACGATCCAAAAATCTGTAGAAAGCAGTTTGGACAAGCCAATCTCTCTCAGAGCATTCGTACAATTTGACAGTCAATTTACAGAAAAAGTAAACGACATTTTTGTGACATTGAGGTAAGAAATCTAAATTCTCAGTTTGTATTCTTTCATTTTTCTTTCTTTTTCTTAAATTCAACGACATAAATATATCAAAATGATAATTCTGTTATAATTTTGTTAAAATATAAGATGACTCAAATTTTATTTCAATTTATTATTTTAATTTATTTTAATTTAATTTAAATTTAATTTAATTTATTTTCTAACGACATCTCGAACATTGAAAAGGATCTTGAAAAGATCGAAACGTACGTATATATTATTTTTTGTTCACTCGAATCAATTTTTTCAGACATATTTTTTATATTTTTATATCTGACTGATTATTAATATAGTATGTCTCTTACTTAGAGTCTTTATTATTATTTCGACTTTTTTACGCTCTAACATCTTGCCATGTTCTTTCAGTCTTCCTTTTTATTTCGTTTTGCTAAAATTTTATGTTTTTACAGATGGAACCAACCAGAATTTGCCGATGAAATAATACAAATGTACCAAGTGCAGTGTTCTTTCTTCGAGGACTTTAAAGAAACCTGCGATGATAAAAATATCACAGCTACAAAATTGGAGCACACGGTGCACAATCTATCATCTAACACGACATATTATTTTCGAGTACGTGCGCATACTAAAATTGTTGCTGGTCCTTACACGGATTTAATCAATGTGTCGACTACACATGAAAATCCAATACCTAAATTATTATTAATCTCATTATGGGATGAAATAGAAATATTGGACGTGGATTTAAACGTTACTAATTTCGTAATGCAAGGGTACGTATACTAATAAAAAATAGTTCTAATTATCATAAATTTTTTTTAACACTAACTATAAAGTTAAAGTTATTATTATTATGCACAAGTTTATTATTATCAACATTATAGTAGGCATAACTATAAAATTAGAAATCTCGACTATAATTTTTTTATCATACAATTATAATCTTTTCAGATATAAATCCATTTTTTTTGCAAGATATGTCACTTATTTGATACAAGAACATAGAATTTATTGGAGTGACGGAAAAGATCTACTGACATTGAACATTAATGAAAATAATATCACAAAAATTGCTAGCTTTCATAATACTCTACATAATCTCTGCATTGACTGGGTAGCAAGAAATTTATATTTCACCTATCGACGGTCAAACTACTATTATATTGTAAAGTTCGACTTAACAATGTGGGAAAATGGCATAATTAAATTTAATGAGATTCTCAAAGAAGAAATTCCAATCGAGTATTTAAATGTATCACCGTCTATGGGGTACGTTTACTACTGTTTACCTGAAAAAATAATTTTCCATTAAAAATTTATGCAAATTTGTATTATAATTTTTCTATAATTTTACGAGGTTTTATAATTAAGATCACAAGTAAAAAATATAATAAGTTATTATATTATTATAAGAATTTCGAATTTTTACTACATATAAGTTTCTGTTTTTGTTAGAATAATGTTTTATAATGAGTAAAATAATTACATATTTTTTAGAATTTTATATTATATACAATTTTGGGGAGAACATTTAAAAATGATAAAAACTGATCTCGATGGAATAATCGAGCAAATTGTTTCTATAAATGCATCTTTTTGCTCTTCAAAACTTTATCATGCTGCTCGAACTTTCAAAGATATGATAATTGATAACATGAATAATAAGGAACCGTCAATTTACTGGTTAAGTGATGATTATATATTTGTGACAGACATTGACATTTCTATGTGCAATACAATTTTACACAACGAAAACATGCGTGATAACATCCTATTCAAATCTATGACGATTGACAAATCAAACATCTACATTTTACCATTTCGAAAAAATTATAAGGCCATGTTTCCATATATGTACGTTTTGAAAAAGAAATATGCAAGTCTCAAGAGCGTAAATGCAGCTGAATATGTTGAAAAGACAATAATAGAAAGATCATATAAAATGTTTTATAAAATTTATGCTTTTGATAAATCTGTACAACCATATTCTCCAGCCATATCAATGAGATGTCTGACACCTTATGAAAAAGTTTACAATTTTGAGAATGTGTCTGCAACGGCAAACAGCATCTTTGTAAATCTTCCGGAGCCGGTTGTAAAAAGTGGATGCAAAAGATATAATTTACCGACTACTATATATACTATCTCTGTAAGCCAGCATTGTGTAGACAAAAATCTCAACAAGTCTGAAGAATTCAATGTGCAGACGTGCGAGCAATATTACGAGATTCAGAACTTAATACCGTTTACAGAGTATAAGTTGAAATTTACTTTAAAAAATGTTTACTTTGATCAATTATCAATAAATCCATTCGATTCGAATGTGATACCAATAAAAATTAATTCGGGCAAGCTTAATGCACCAGAAAACATAAGTGTTTTAGTTTTGACGCCTACTATAGCAGTAGTTCATTGGATGCCACCCAAGAAATTAAACTGTGCGGACCTGACTTACGAAGTGCATTGGACGTCAGTTATATTTGTGAACGGCATACAACAAAAGAGCAAACAATTTATTAATATGCCGAAACGTATGGTAGATGGCAGATTTTTCACAAAGATTAACTTGTCGCTACCAGTACAAGATTACTTGATATACGTGCGTGTGTACCCAATTAATTCAAGCGATTTGTACAACGAGAGTTTAAGCAAGATCGTTCACATATCCTCAGAACCAAACAATATTACTTTGGACGAGGTCGACATAAATAGCATGAACATTTCATGGATCTCCAACATTAATCTGACAATCTTTTTTACACTAGAGTACAAAGATATTGCAGCAGAAAAGTGGCAAACAATGAATTATTTTAAAATGAATTATAAAGATAAAGTAATATACTATGTCAAAAATTTACAATCGGGAACTTTATACAAGTTTCGCTTGATATTGAGATATCTCGAATTTGAGGAAACTTTTATATGGCCAGCTGATGAAAGATTTATTTTTTCAACACTTGGTAAGCAAACGAAGATACTTATGTAGCACATTAAGGTTTATTGAAGAATAATTTCATTGAAACATTGCAATATTGCAAATCAAATGGGAAACTTTGCTGAGTTATTGTTATAAGCTTGTGATAAAGTTAAAGTATCCTCTTTTTGCAATGAAATAATATTACAGTGTAATATATTGGAAAGAATGTAACGTTACTGCAACCATTTAATAACATAACGTATAAAATATTTTTGATGGATGAATATCTTGGAAACATTTAATTAAATTAAAAAGCTTCATATAAATATTAGTTTATGATATCTAATATATTGCAAAATTATATTTAAACATAACATCATATAAAATAAAATGTTATATTTTTATACAAAATTGCTCTAAACTATTACTTACGAATCACTTTTTTTATTTTAATTGTTGTATATACTTTTATAATGGGTATTTTATACACATTTATATACTAGTTATAGAATTAATTATACATTCCTAATTACATTTTTATTTAAAAATTTAAATTATCTTTGAAGATTAATATCGTATTCGTACATGAAGTGAAAATATATCATAAAATATTTTGTAACATTCATATAAAATATTATCTATATTTTAATAAAAAACAGCAAGGCTTATCTGTAGCTTAGAATTATATTTACTCGATATTATTTGTGTCAATAATTCATTTGACTTCTGCAAAAAAGTAAAATTCATCGCATATATATAGACATAAAAAATGTATTATTATATTATTTTTATAGATAAATTAAAGAGTGTTATAGTTTTAAAGTGTTTTCAAAATATGAACATCATATTGCTAATATCTAATACACATTTTGTTAAATTATATTTCTACAATGTTTCCGTAATGTTGCCTTGCAATTTGTAATATTGCAACATTGTTGCAAAGTAGTTGTAATATTTTGTGCTGCACAGATATTATAATATTATGTGCTGATATTTTTTGGATATGAATAGGCCTAAAATTAAAAAAAATTAAATCTTATAATAAAGTTACAAGTAACAATAAATTTGTAAAAATATACACACACGAAGATATTAAAATTATATTTTTGCTTAATCTAGATATTCCGAGCACTCCTGGAATAATAGCGAATAAATATTACTTATTATTGACGTTAAGTTTCATGGTTATAGTTCCTATAATCTGCGTTTTCTACATTTATCGTTGTAAGTATATTTGATGTAGATGTCGACTTGAATTGTAGATTATACATATATATCTGATATAATATCTAGAGATTTACTGAAAATAGTAATTTACTTATGTAAAATTAAACAAATAACTTTACTAAAAAACAGTAAATCTTATAATACATATTATTACATAATTAAATCGAAATTTTATAATAGTGTATCGTCAACGCAGAGGTAATAATGAACAATTTTTGTCTTCAACAATGACCGATGTAGAATTGGCGATTCTACATGAAGTACCTTGGCGAAACACTCTGGATGAATGTGCGATAACTAAAATCGCACGAAATCAAATTACACTTACAAAACATCTTGGTAGCGGAGCATTCGGAACGGTAAAAATTAATTTTTTCAAATATTGTTTTAAATTAATTTTTGGATTAACAAAACAGATGAGTGTTTTCTAATAAAGATATAAGTTACATGAATTTTTTCCATAGATTATAAGTAATATAAAATTTACATGAGACAACAAGCATGCACTTTATTATATATTTTTCATTGAATTATTTAATATAAAGTAAAATATAATATTACTTGACATTAACTATACATTTTCTAATAAAGTACTCATGTAAATTTATGTGAAATATTTCGCAGGTGTTTCAAGGAAAGGTGAAGGATTTAGAAAAATCGGGCACAGAGATATCCGTTGTAATAAAAACGCTTCGAAAAGATGCTTCTTCCCATGAGAAAGAGAAATTGTTAAAGGAAGCCAAGCTTATGAATCATTTTCAACACAAACATATATTAAAATTGTTTGCCGTTTGTTTAGATGGAGATTCTCCGTTACTAGTGTTGGAATTGATGGAAACTGATCTGTTAAAATATTTGAGAGAATGTCGAAATTTGCAAGCGTCAGATTCGCCTGCTCTGCGGTTGCAAGATTTGCTCGCCATGTGCGAAGATGTTGCGCGAGGTTGTTGTTACTTGGAAGAGTTACGTTTCGTACATAAAGATCTAGCGTGTCGCAATTGTTTAGTATCTTCGAGAAATCGAGAGAATCGTGTCATAAAAATTGGAGATTTTGGACTAGCTAGAAATATCTACAAGGATGATTATTATCGCGTGGTAAGTACAATTATGAAAAAATTTAATGATTAAAAATTGAATTCTTTTTAAAATACTTTCCATTTTTTTTATCCTAATAGTATTCTGCATTGTTTCTTTAAGTAATATAGAATATAATATAGAATATAAATAGTTTTTATTTATATATAGCAAGAGATAAATGAACGTTTTTCATTTTGCACATATTCTAAAAATGAACAATTTGAACCAGAAAATTAAATTTTTGTTTAAATCATGTGTTTTAGAAAGGAGAACGTTGGTTTCCTATTCGCTGGATGGCACCCGAATCTTTGATAATTGAAATATTTACTTCTCAAAGCGATGTTTGGTCATTTGGGGTATTAATGTGGGAAATTACATCGTTGGGTGAGAAACCTTATGTTGCCAAGACTGATAAAGAAGTGATAAATTATGTACGTGCTGGAGGCAGGTTACCGATGACTCTTAACTGTCCGTCATCTTTGTACCAGTTGATGCTACGTTGCTGGAATGCAGCGGATGCTAGACCAAATTTCGAATTTTGTCTGAAAAATATTACAGCATTAAGAAAGAACATAGAGGATGCCTTACTAAGTCCAGTCGATACTATTTAGCCAATATACTTAAATTAATGTTTATCTTATTTTCCAAACAACTCAATAAATCTTAATGTAGAAAAAAAATTTCTAGGATATTTCTAAATTAATTCTGATCTGATTATTTTTAGGTTTAATCTTAATGTTACATATATCAATGAAAATTAAAGAAATTTTGTAATCTTACTTTTCACACAATTTTCATTATTTTTAAAAAATATCACATCCGTTTTCATGATTGTACAAAATCAAATAATATAATGATATATCTAATTTGTCTTTTTGAGTAATCGAAGCAAAATTTAATGATTATGATTATTTATATGTATATGTATAAACAATATTCTTTTGAACATGGGAATATAATTAATTTTCGACATTATATATGACCGATAATTACAAACTGATTGTAGAATTATGAGTGAAAGAGGAAACGCGAATAATGTCTTCTATAATTAGTTGTAAATATATAAATATAATAATATAATTATTTTTAAGTTTATAACAGTTATTATATATGAATTTTTTACATCATTCGAGATAAGTATATACATATATTATATCTTTTTATTTAATGACTCACTATATATTTAAATTATATTGATTACAAAAATATGCAGTTGTAAAAATGAATTACATTTATTGTTTTATCTTCAATAACTGTTTAATAAATCTAATAATGTATAAATATGTATTCACACACAAGTACGGTCTATCATTTCGAACAAATTCTTGCACGTACATATATTTTTATTGGGTAAAAAGTTTTTATAAATTTGTAAAATGTTTAAAAATACATCTATTATTATGCATGAATTGATAAAGAGATCTTTATATTAATGTTTATATTATTAAAAATATTCTTATGCAGAATGTCTCTTTAACAATATAGAAACATTTTTGAAAATAACAATGTACATCATTTAATATATGAATGGACTAAATATGTCACGAAAGGAGACCGAAGCAACATAGAATTATTTTCAATTATATTTCACGTAATTAAAGCGTTTATCACATTTTTTGGAAATAAAGTAATTGATTTATAGCGGGAAAAATGGGGAAATTGATTAGATGCACTAATGCACACTGATGCATAATAAACACTGATGCATAATAAACACTATATAAAATTACAATAGTAGAATTAAAATAATAAAGTAATTAATATTATAAATTTTTTTATTGTATTATATTATATATATATATATATATATATATATATATATATATTAAGTATATTATATTAAGTTAATATTAACTAAAGTTATATTAAATAAGTTATATATTATATTATAAGTTTATTCAATGCGAATAATGATAATAATAGCTCGTACAATTAATTATATTATTTATTTTAGTTATGTATGTGCTACTGTAAATTTTTACTTATTTGTACTAATATAAAAACGGTACTACGTTACGTATCGTTTGATTCAATCTGCATTATGTGAATATACAGAAAACGTATAAATCGTTGTTTTTTTAAATCCATTATTACTTTTCTTATAATCAGAATATCTCCTTATATTAAACAAATGCTTCTTATGCCAAAGAGAAGATACTTAGAAATAAATTAATAATTAAAATGTTTATAATAAAATTTATTAAACAATTATATATACATATAATTATTTTTATTTATACATAAAACTATTTTTGTTTTATATATAACTTTTTTGTCAAACAATTTTTAAAGACTTTAATTCTTTTTAAAATAACGCGAGTATCTCCGTGGAGAAAAATAAATTACAACGGAAGCAGCTAATAGAACGTCGTAGCACCACGTGATGAGATTGATCGTTCTAAGTCAATTACTATTGTGACTGCTAACCACATCATTCTAAGTCAGTTACTATTACGACTGCTAGCCGAAACGCACTATCGCCTTACTTATCGTTTGATTCAAACTGAGTTTTAAAGAATTTATCGAAAATATATGTATATATATATGAATTAATATCAATTTGATTAATACATCAGAATTAGTAGAGTGAGAAAAACAATTAATTCAGGATTCAACGGAAATCGATTGAGTGCAAACGTTTACGAAAAATGCAAATTATGTTTGGAACAATATTATGTATTTTATTGATAGGTTTAATACTGACAAAAGCAACTAACACGCCGAAGGTTAATATCACTTCAAACATCCTTCAAGAAGAAAATGTTTCCATGCGTCCGGAATTAAATTTCACGCAGGTAAGAGATATTTTCGTTTAATTAAGAAACAATTGAATGTTACTGCAGTTAGTAGTGTAACTAAACATGAATGAAAATAAATTATATATTCTACATATAATAAGATAAGATAACATAAAACAATTCAATATGAAAGAAAAAAGTATGTACGATGTTGTAAAAAAAGATGGATAATGTTTCGAAATTTTGTTTACAAATGGATGTTATATAGTATATTAAATTTAATTAAAACAGTGTTTTAAAATTTGACTGTATTATTTTGTCTCTCTCTCTTTCTCTCTTTCTCTCCCTCTCTTTTTCTATATATATATAATTATTGTTTAAAAATAACAATTTTTAAAATTAATGAAGTTTTCTGTCTATTATCTGTTATTATATTCCATACTTTCTACATTATTATATACATACGATAGCACTTCAACAGATTTTTATGTTATTTTTCTTTAATGTTTAAAATTTCCTTATTTTCCTACATATATATAATAATATTTATTGATATATAGTAAGCTTTATACTAATGTAAATTTTATTTTATGAAATTAATTTAGAAAGATAGCATCATTTCTTTGTGTTGTTAAGAATAATTATACAGGATATCCCATTTTAAAAGTTCCACCCTCATAACTTTTTTAATTTTGATTGTAGAAAAAAATGTTTCAGACAAAAGTTGTATGGTTTTAAGGGGCACATAAAACGGTGTCATTTGTTTGACATTAAAGAGTCATCTGAAAGTCATTCTTTATAAAAAAGACACATAATTGTTTCGAAGAAAAAATATAATATAATTAATTAAATAATTAATAAAATATAATATAATTAAATATAATATAATATAAGTATATAATATATAAAAATAAATTATATAATATAATATAATTTGCAATTAACAATTACATATTTTTTCTTAAAAATAAATGTGTGTTTTCTACATCAATTAATTCCTCTCATTATTTTGTACATAAAAGTATTAAGGTAAGATAATCGAAAAATAAATATTTCACAAGATATTTTACGGTTTATGTAAAATTAAGAAATGATTTCAAGCCTCATAATTCGGAAAGTACTTAATGAAAACTAATTTAATTATAGTGTTTTGGAAAACTCTCGAGATGAGTTATAAAAATATGTAAAAGCACATAGAGTGTCCCATTTAAAAAGTTGGAGGTGACTTCCCGTGGCATTCAGGTGACTCTTCAAGGTCAAACTAATAGCACCGTCTTATGTGCCCCTTAAAACCATACAACTTTTGTGTGAAACATTTTTTTCTACAATCAAAATTAAAAAAGTTATGAGGGTGGAACTTTTAAAATGGGACACCCGGTACAGAGCTACTAAATATCGAGATAGAAAATCTGTCTAATGAAAAAAATCATTTCTTAAACTTTCTTCAAATTGTATCTATTAACGCTAATATTTCGATCGACAATATATTCAATAACAATCACTAGAATTTATATTAATTTTCATTGTGCATATATCCATTTGTATACAATTATGTTCACATATATTTATAGAGGCATTATCGGTTTATACTATCGATTTATTCTATCATTTCCAGGATTTGTTTGTGTTAAAAATATAACGACAATAGAGAATAAAATACTTGACAAGGTTAAAAATAAAGAATTTATATAATTTCTAACACTGATACTTAATAACTGTAAAGAAACAATATTTTTAACCATTTTATTCTTGAAGTACAAACATTAATGAAACTTTAGTAATATCGGCAAACTTTTGAAAAGAAATTTGAGTTACAATAGAGCTAAATAACCTATCGTGAGAAAGAATGAAATCGTTAAACTAAATAGATTTAATAATTGCAAACAGCTACACTTTCGCTTGTACTACTTGCTAAAAGCTGTTATGAAGCCTCATTGACTCTCGTTAACCTACCCAATTTCGTTGATTGACATGAGTTATGTTTGGTATACAAGATGTCTTAAAAAAAAATAAATATAAATTATATGATATTGAATACATCACATTTAATTTATATCATTTAGGAATGGTGTATATCAAACTGGTATTATTAAGAAAACAAAAAACGAATGGCAATTTTTCGTTTAATAATTTATATAATTTAACAATAAAAGCACCAGAAACAACCGATACTTCAACAATATTCACCTAATTCTTTTCGTATGTTATATTACGTGTTATATTTTATGAAGGATATTTCAATGTCCGAAGAAAGTGATCATCATATATTAAATTTCAAATCTGACCGAAGTTCTGATAGTACCGTGAGAAATAAGCGAGAAGTCGATGAAGTTACACTTGCAGATATTTCTATCATCCCAAAATCTATCGGTAAGTTGCAGAAAAATACATAAAACATTAATAACAAAATCTCTGACGAAAAAGTGTAAATATAATTTAAATTCAAGAGAAAGTGGAAATCAAATTTAAAAATATATTTTATTAGTGAAAGGAATATAAATTCTATTCCATCCAAAAAGGAAATAGAAAAGCATAATATAAACATAACATTGTACATAAAAATTGTCATGATTTAAGGTAAAGTCAATTTTATTAATTTGCTACTTTGTTTTGAAGCAAATATCATACTTTTGATTTTTTAAGCTGTAGGAATTTATCGAAAAATACTTGTCATCTTATTAAAAATTATTTATTCATTTTTGCCATCGATTAAGGTTTACTTCCTAAATCTTAAATGACGCAAAAAATTCTTATATTATTTTTTTAAAGGTCAATACTGTGCTAATTTCTATATTTGGTAGTTTACATTTATTTTTTCTCTTTCCTTAATTTTCACATTAAATTGTTTTTTTCTGATTTACTGAGATAATCCACTTAATCTTATATATAATTATGTTAATATGTACGATCCAAAAATCTGTAGAAAGCAGTTTGGACAAGCCAATCTCTCTCAGAGCATTCATACAATTCGACAATCAATTCGCAGAAAAAGTAAACGACATTTTTGTGACATTGAGGTGAAGAATCTAAATTCTCAGTTTGTATTCTTTCATTTTTGTCTCTTTTTCTTAAATTCAACATAGACACATAGAAACGTTAAATCTGTTATAATATTACTAAATATAAAAAGACTAAAATGTTATTCTTTTGCAGATGGAACCAACCTAACTTTACTGATAAAATAATACACAGGGTACACAGTGCAATGTTTCTTCATCGAGGATTTAAAAGAGATTCAAATCTGCGACGATAAAAATATCACAACTACAAAATTGGAGCACACGGTGCACAACCTGACGTTTAACACAACATATTATTTTCGAGTACGTGCGCATACTAAAATTGTTGCTGGTCCTTACACGGATTTAATCAATGTGTCGACTACACATGAAAATCCAATACCTAAATTATTATTTACAACGGATGAAGATGAAGGTGGAAAGATCGAAATATGGGACTTGGATTTAAACAATACTAATTTCGTAAATTTTACAAAGTACGTATACTGATAAAAAAAAAGTTATAATTATCATAAATTATTTTTACACTAACTATAAAATTAAAGTTATTATTAATATGCACAATTTTATTATTATCAACATTATAGTAGTAATAATTATAAAATTAGAAATCTCGACTATAATTTTTTTACCATACAATTATAGCTCCTTTTTTTCAGATATGTAAAAAATGTCGCTTATTTGATACAAGATTATAGAATTTATTGGGGTGACGGTGGAGATCTAATGACATTGAAGATCAATGAAAATAATATTACAAAAATAGCTAGCTTTCATAATACTCTACATAATCTCTGCATTGACTGGGTAGCGAGAAATCTATATTTCAGCTATTACGATTCAGGCTACTGTCATATTGTAAAGTTTGACTTAACAATGTGGGAAAATGGCATAATTAAATTTGATGAGATTCTCAAAGCAAGAATTCCTATCAACTATTTAAATGTATCACCGTCTATGGGGTACGTATACTACCGTTCACCTGAAAAAATAATTTTCCATTAAAGATTCATGCAAATTTGTAATTTTTCTATAATTTTACATGGTTTTATAATTAAGATCATAAGGAAAAAATATAATAAGTTATTATATAATTATAAGAATTTCGAATATTTACTACATACAAGTTTCTGTTTTTGTTAGAAAAATGTTTTATAATGAGTAAAATAATTACATATTTTTTAGAATTTTATATTATATATCACAATTTTGGACGAGGGGAGAAGATTTAAAAATGATAAAAACTGATCTCGATGGAATAATCGAGCAAATTGTATCGATAAATGAATCTTTTTGCCATTCAAAATTTTATCATTATTTTCGTGATCATGAGTTCAATGATATGATAATTGATAACATGAATAATGAGAAGCCGTTAATTTACTGGATAAGTGTTCATTATATATTTGTGACAGACATTGACATTTCTATGTGCAATACAATTTTACACAACAAAAACATGCGTGATAACATCCTATTCCAATCAATGACGATTGACAAAACAAACATCTACATTTTACCATGTATATTGGACTACGACATAATTCCATATATATATGTTTTGAAAAAGAAATATGCAAGTCTCAAGAGCGTAAATGCAGCCGAATATGTTGAAAAGACAATAATAAGAAGATCATATGAAATGTCTTATAAAATTTATGCTTTTGATAAATCTGTACAACCATATTCTCCATCCATATCAATGAGATGTCTGACACCTTATGAAAAAGTTTATAATTTTGAGAAGGTAAATGCAACGGCAAACAGCATTATTGTAAATTTTCCGATGTCGGCTGTAAAGAGTGGATGCAAAAGATATAATTTACCAACTACTATATATACTATCTCTGTAAGCCATTGTTTAGACAATAACCTCAACAAGTCTGAAGAATTCAATGTGCTGACGGGCGAGCGATATTACGAGATTCAAACCTTAACACCATTTACAGAGTACAAGTTGAAGTTTACTTTAAGCAATGTTTACTTTGATCAATTATCAATAACTCCATTCGATTCGAATGTGATATCAGTAAAAACTAATTCGGGCAAGCTTAATGCACCAGAAAACATAAGTGTTCTAGCTTTGACGCCTACTATAGCAGTTGTTCATTGGACGCCACCCAAGAAATTGAACTGCATAAGCGTGACCTACGAAGTGCATTGGAAGTCAGTTATATTAATGAACGGCACGCAACAAAAGAGCAAACAAGTTATTAATGTGCCGAAACGTATGGCAGATGGCAGATTTTTCACAAAGATTAACTTGTCGCTACCAGTACAAAATTATTTGATATACGTGCGTGTGTATCCAATTAATTTCAGCGATTTCTACAACGAGAGTTTAAACGAGATCGTTCACATACCCTCAGAACCAAACAATATTACTTTGAGCGGGGTCAACATAAATAGCATGAACATTTCATGGATCTCCAACATTAATTCGACGATCTTTTTTACACTAGAGTACAAAGATATTGCAGCAGAAAAGTGGCAAACAATGAATTATATTAAAATGAATTGTAACAATGAAATAACATACCATGTCAAAAATTTACAATCGGGAACTTTATACAAGTTTCGTTTGATATTGAGATATCTTGAATATGAAGAAAATTTTATATGGCCGGCTGATGAAAGATTTATTTTTTCAACACTTGATAAGCAAACGAAGATACACATATAACACAATAGGGTTGCGGATATATTGAAGAATAATTTCATTGAAACATTCCAACATTGCAAATCGATTGCGAAAATCTGCTGAGTTATTGTTATAAGATTGTGATGAGAAAGAAAGAGAAGTTAAAGTGTCCGCATTTTGCAATGAAATAATATTACAGTGTAATATATTGGAAAGAATGTAACGTTACTGCAACCATTTAATAACATTACGTATAAAATATTTTTGTTTTTGATGAATGAATATCTTGGAAACATTTAATTAAATTAAAAAGTTTGATATAAATACTAATTTGCGATATCTGAGATATATTGCAAAATTATTTTTAAACATAATATCATATAACATAAAATGTTATATTTTTATACAAAATTGCTGTAAACTATTACTTACGAATCACTTTCTTTTATTTTAAATGTTTTATACTCTTATAATGGGTATTTTATACACATTTATGTATTAGTTATAGAATTAATTATACATTTCTAATTACATTTTTATTTAAAAATTTAAAAAATCCGTTATAATTATATATATTTGCATGTGAAAAGTACAGAAAAATACATAGAAAAATATAATGATAGATATAATAATATATATTCTTAATATAATAAAAAGATATATTATCGTTCAAAATTAATATCGTACATGAAGTGAAAATATATCATAAAATATATTTTAACATTGATATAAAATGTTATCTATATTTTAATAAAAAAATAGCAATGCTTATCTTTAGCTTAGAATTATATTTACTCGACTGATATTATTTGTATCAATAATTCATTTGACTACTGCAAAAAAGTAAAATTCATCGCATATACACAAATATAAAAAAATATATTATTACATTATTTTTATAGATAAATTAAATAGTGTTATAGTTCTAAAATGTTTTCAAAATATAAATATTCTATTTTTATCTTCTACTTTTATCGTTGTAAGTATATTTGATGTAGGTGTGGACTTTAATTGTAGATTATACAAATATATCTGATATAATATCTAGAGATTTAATGAAAATAGTAATTTACTTATATATAACTAAACGAATCAATTTACCAAAAACCAGTAAATTTTATAATACATATTATTACATAATTAAGTCGAAATTTTATAAAATATAAAAGTATATCGACAACGCAGAGGTAATAATGAACAATTTTTGTCTTCAACAATGACCGATTTAGAATTGGCGATTCTACATGAAGTACCTTGCCGAAACACTCTGGATGAATGTGCGATAACTAAAATTGCACGAAATCAAATTACATTTACAAAACTTCTTGATAGTGGCGCATTTGGAATGGTAAAAATTAACTTTTTTCAAGCAATGTATCAAATTAATTTCTGGATCGACAAAACAGATATGTATTTTCTAATAAAGATATAAATTACATGAATTTTTATAATAGATTACAAGTAATATAAAATTTACATGAGACAACAAGCATGCCGTTTATTATATATTTTTTATTGAATTATTTAATATAAAGCAAAATATAATATTATTTGACATTAAACTATACATTTTCTAATAAAGTACGTATGTAAATTTGTGTGAAATATTTCGCAGGTATTTTAAGAAAAGGTGAAGGAGTTAGAAAAATCGGGCACAGAGATATCCGTTGCAATAAAAACGCTTCAAAAAGATGTTTCATTCCATGAGAAAAAGAAATTGTTCAAGGAAGCCAAGCTTATGAATCATTTTCAACACAAACATATATTAAGATTGTTGGGCGTTTGTTTAGATGGAGATTCTCCGTTACTAGTGTTGGAATTGATGGAAACTGATGATCTGTTAAAATATTTGAGAGAATGTCGAAATTTGCAAGCGTCAGATTCGTTTGCTCTGCGTTTGCAAGATTTGTTCGCCATGTGCTAAAATGTTGCGCGAGGTTATTGCTACTTGGAAGAGATGTGTTTCATATATGGAGATCTATCATGTCTCAATTGTTTAGTATTTTCGAGAAATCGAAAGAATCGTGTCATCAAAATTGGAGATTTTGAGCTAGCTAAAGGTATCTACAAGGATGATTATTATCGCGTGGTAAATACAATTATGAAAAAAATTAAGGATTAAAAAATGAATTCTTTTAAAAATATTTTCCATTTTTTATCATATTAGTATCGTGCATTGTTTCTTTACGTAATATAGAATATAAATAGTTTTTATTTATATATAGCAAGAGATAAATTAAGGTTTTAGATTTTGCACGTATTCTAAAAATGAATAATCAGAACATAAATTTTTAAAATCATGTTTTAGGAAGGAGAACGTTGGTTTCCTATTCGCTGGATAGCACCCGAATCTTTGATAATTGAAATATTTACTTCTCAAAGCGATGTTTGGTCATTTGGGGTATTAATGTGGGAAATTACATCGTTGGGTGAGCAACCTTATAGTGCCAAGGCTAATGGAGAAGTGATAAATTATGTACGTGCTGGAGGCAGGTTGCCAATGACTCTTAACTATCCGTCACCAATGTACCAGTTGCTGCGTTGCTGGAACACAGTGGATGCCAGACCAAATTTTAATCTTTGTCTGAAAAATATTATAGCATTTAGAAAGAACATAGAAGATGCCTTATTGAGTCCAGTCGATACTATTTAGCCAGTCGATACTATTTACTATATAGCCGATATAATTAAATTAATGTTTATCTTATTTTCCAAACGATTCAATAAATCTTAATGTAGAAAAAATATTTTTAGGATATTTCTAAATTGATTCTTATTTTTAGGTTTGATCTTAATATTATATGTATCAATGAAAGTAAAAGAAATTTTGTAATCTTACCTTCCATAAAATTTTGATTATTATTAAAAAATATCACAACAACTTAATAAATCTTAATACAGAAAAAATATTTCTAGGATATTTTTAAATTGATTCTGATCTGATTATTTTTAGGTTTAATATTAATGTTACATGTATCAATGAAAATTAAATTTTGTAATATTACTTTCCATACAATTTTGATTATTATTAAAACATATCACATTCGTTTTCATGATTGTACAAAATCAAATAATGATGATATATCTTATTTGTGTTTTTGAGTAATCGAAGCGAAATCTAATGATTGCGGTTATAATATATATGTACAAACAATATTTTTTCAACTTGGGAATATAATTAATTTTCGATATTATATATAACCGATAATTACAAACTGATTGTAAAATTTATGAGTGAAAGAGGAAACGCGTATAATATCCTCTATAATTAGTTGTAAATATATAAATATAATAATTATTTTTGAATTTATAACAGTTATCATGAATGAACTTTTTGCATCTTTCGTGATAAGTATATACATATATTATATCTTTTTATTTATTTATTCATTTTATATTCAAATTATATTGATGATTACAAAAGTATGCAGTTGTACAGGGTGTTTCCGCAACATACACATCTTTAAGTCTGGTTGCCTGACTGCCCACCGTCAGGCGCATGCTTTATTGGGCTCGCAGAATAAGATTAGAATGCGAATTCGGCGAAGAGTAAAGAAAAGGAAATCAACTTTTATCATTCTGTTATAGTGAACAGTTGCGAAATTTAATAATATAGATAAAATATATTTAATAATATAGATTATAATAATATATAATAATATATAATATATATAATATATAATAATATATAATAATATATAAAAATTTAATAATATAGATACAATACATTTAATAATATATAGAGAAAATAATATATAGGGAATGTGTGTCCTCCACATAGTTTATTTGTTATTTAATATAGGTTATAACATATTATTAATTTAGATTATTACACTTTATTTAATTATAATATTTAATAATATATATTAATAATGTACATATTTTAATAATGTAAATAAAATTTAACAAATAAATTTAAACAAAAAAATTAATTAATTAATAAAACATGAAAAATAATAATGAAATTATAATGAAAAATATTTTTGGTCTTTAAATATAATATAATAAATTATAATAATTGTTCAATATAAACAACCATTTTCTTCTAAACATAGAGTAATTCTGCGCATGAAATTTTCTCTCACTCGTCTTAGCATGAGAGGAGTGATCTATGCACACGCATTACGAATACTGTTTTTAAGAATTTCTGCATTTTCCGGCAGGGTTTAGTAAACTTTATTTTTTAAGAAATCCCACATGAGAAAGTCCGTGGGTGTGAGATCCGGAGAGCGTGGTGGCCATTCCTGAAAACCATGAAGTCCGATCCATCTTCCAGAAAATTTTTGATTTATAATGGTTCTTGCCAAAATAAAAGTGTGAACGCCATGTCCGTCTTGTTAAAATATTATTTCCCTCCTGTTAGCTAGTGACACATCTTCAAGGTGTTTAAGCCGATGGAATAAAAAATTTGCATAATAATCTGCATTGCCTTGAATAAATTCGGGACGATAATGTGATCCCCTACTATTCCTAGCCACACATTTATAGCCCATCTGCCTTAAATGTTTACTTCCTTCATACAATGTGGATTATGCTGCGCATAATGATGCTCATTATGTCTGTTTTTGCATCCGTCACTTTTAAAAATTGCCTCGTCACTCCAGAGAATATTTTTCAAAAATATATCGTTTCCGACATTGAAATTCACCTGCGTAAATCGATTATAAATTATTAGTATAAAGTTGACGACTGATGTCCATCGACATTAAAACGTTTGATATGTTGCAACAAAAAAATAGAAAATAAATTTTTAAATATAACTATACTAATATAAATATACTTACGTGTTCAATAACCCATTCACAAAAATTTATTCGTCGTAGCATATCACCAGGTATGAGATCGTATGTTGTATGTCATTTAAATGGATGTAAACACAGGGAATATTTAATAATTTTATGAATGGTAACCTGATTCATGTTTAAATCTGCGGCGGCTGCTCTTGTGCTTATATGAGAATTTGTTATAACAACCTCTTGAACAGCATCAATTATAACATACAGTTGTTTTTAAGAAAAAATATGGAATTGTTAATTGCAAATTACATATTTTTCTTAGAAATAACTATGTGTTTTCTTTACACTAATTGATTCCTCTCATTATTTTGTACTTAAAAGTATTAAGGTAAGATAATCGAAACATGAATATTTTACATGATATTTTATGGTTTATGTAAAATTAAGAAATGATTTCAAGCTTTATACGTCGAAAAGTACTTGATGAAAAAACACTTTATTATAGTATTTTGGAAAGCTCTCGACATAAGCTATAAGAATATGCAATAAAAAATAGGTGGTTCCATTTAAGAAATTAAAGGTATTTTTGACCTGAAATTAACGATGCCATCCAAGATCAAACCAATGACACCATCTTATGTTCCCCTCAAAACCATACAATTTTTGTTGAAAACGTTTTTCTCTAAAATGTTTAGTTTTTGAAAGAAAAGGAGTGTACGGATGGTCTAGAACACCCTGTATATATCTTTTTTGTCAAATAATTTTTATAGATTTTAATTCTCTTTGAAATAACGCGAGTATCTCCGTGGAGAAAAATAAATTACAACGGAAGCCGCTAATAAAACGTCATTGCACCACATGATTGATCATTCAAAGTCAGTTACTATTATGACGCTAGATAAAACGCATTACCGCGTTACTTATCGTTTGATTCAAACTGCATCATATGAATATCACAAAAAATTGTGTACGAATAGTGGATGTTAAAAGCATACGTAGTAACACAATTGTATATAATAACACAATCGTACGAACGAATTGTCATAATTATATATTTAATAAAACCTTAGATGTAATAAATATTCAAGTGAATTCGATTACACGCTGCGTGTGCTTGAATGATATGTGGCTGAAAATGTTACAAGATCTCTAATTCTATAACTTCTCTGATCGTTTGTAATTTGATTGTGGTTATTTTTTTATCGACGTCTTTTTACTTTAATATTAATAAAAAAAAGCTGATAATAATTATATTCCTTTGTTTGCTAGATATATATTGTAATCGCGACCATAAAGAGAAAGATCTAAAAAAACATAATTATTAAGAAGATAATAACTTACGATTCGTTAAAACTGAGTTTTAAGGAATTTATTGAAAATAAATTTATATATATGAATTAATGTCAATTGATTAACACATCAGAATTAGTAGAGTGAGAAAAACATTAACTGAGAATTCAACGGAAACTGATTGAGTGCAAACGTTTACGAAAAATGCAAATCATGTTTGGAACAATTTTCTGTGTTTTATTGAAAGATTTAGTATTGACAAAGGCAACTATCACACTGAAGGATTTTACCACTTCAAATATCCTCCAACAAGAAAATGTTTCCATGCGTCCGGAGTTAAATTTTACGCAGGTAAAAGATATTTTCGTTTGATTAAGAAACAATTAAATGTTTGCAGTTAGTAGTGTAACTAAACATGAATGAAAATAAATTATATATTCTACATATAATAAGATAAGATAAAATAAAATAATTCAATATGAAAAAAAAAGTATGTACGATGTTGTAAAAAAAGATGGATAAAGTATATATATATATATATATATATATATATATATATATATAAAATAATTATTTCTAAAAATAACAATTATTAAAATAAATGAAGTGTGTCTACTATCTGCTACATTAATATACACATACGATGGCACTTCAACAGATTTTTATATTATTTTTCTTCAATTTTTAAAATTTCTTTATTTTCCTATATATATATATATATATGTATATATATATATATTATATATATATTATATATATATATATTATATATATATATATATATATTATATATATATATATATATATATATATATATATAATATTTATTGATGTAAAGAAAGCTTTATATTAATGTAAATTTTATTTTATAAAATTAATTTAGAAAGTTAGCATCATTTCTTTGTGTTTAGAAAAATTATATAACGGGAGCTACTAAATATCGAGATAGAAAATTTATCTGATAAAAAAATCATTCATCAAACATTCTTCAAGTTGTATCTATCAACGCTAATACTTCGATCGACAATATATTCAACAACTATCGCTAGAATTTATATTAATTTTCATTGTACATATATCCATTTATATACAATTATATACACATATTCTTATCGAGACATTATCGGTTTATACTATCGGTTTATATTTATTGTTTGGTGAATTTGTTTGTGTTAAAAATATAACAAACATTCGAAAGAATTCGGGAAAAAACTTGACAAGGTAATAAATAAAAGAATTTATATAATTCTATGACTAATATTTAATAACTGTAAAGAAACAATATTTTTAATCTTTTTATTCTTGAAGTACAAACATTAATAAAACTTTAGTAATGTCGGCAAATTTTTAAAAAGAAATATGAGTTACGGTATAATTGAATAGAGTTAACCAAGCTATCGTGAGAAAGAATCAAATCGTGAGACAAAATTGTTTTAATAATTGCAAAGAGCTACACTTTCACTTGTACTTGATAAAAGCTGTTATGAATCCTCATTGACTCTCGTTATCCTATTGATTGATTTTTTTTTGACATGAGTTATGTTTGATATACAAGATGCCTTAAAAAAAATAAATAAAAAATAGATTTTATGATATTGTTACGTCCGGTGGACTCCACGATTCTTTTCTTTCTTCAAAATGATACCGTGAAAGAAAAATCAAGGATCGGTTTGCATTTGAAGCACAAAACAATCCTTGTTCGAATAATGATAGCACATAGAAAAACGGAACCTAACCCGCGTATATAATCATTTAATCCTAATATTGAGAATGGCCAGTCGAGATAGCGCTAAAGAAACTTTAAATTAACTTTTGAATTATGAGACTCGGAAGTATATGAAATTCGAACCATTCGTATCCATGGTTATAACTTGATTTATCTTAGAGATTTTAAACAAAGAGCCTGTGGTCCTCGAGAAATTGATCAGAAGTAAACATAAATTAATATTGCACGTTCGACAGGGCATTCTCAATCATCACGCGATAAGATAATCAGCTCTTCGCTCCCACTCTCTACTGGATGGAGCTAAATCTCGAGCAAAAGGGCTTAACCAATTAGAATCTTAAGACACTTCTCTCTTATTGAAAAGCTAACTCCTTGGCCCTAAGAAGGGAGTAATAGAAATCATTTGATTCGATTTTTAAAGATTCCCACCATCCAGTAAGGAGGAGGAGCAACTACCTTAAAAAATGCAAGCGCAAGGTGCGAGCACTCTCTTGGTCTCTAGTTCATTAGTTCATTAAGTTCTCTAGTTCATTAGTTCACTTCCTATCTAGTTTACTAAGCGTTCACTAATAAGTACTAACTAGCACTATAAGCAGTACAGTTGACAGCTCCAGTCAAGATTCAGCCATTCAATTTTAACATTATATAGCCTCGGGGATCCTTTTTTTGCATTATGCAATTAAGTTATTAATTTGTTTTATATCACAGTGAAAATGATTTTGTTAACATTTAATTGTGCATCATGTGAAATTTCTGATGAGCATCCCCACTACTCGGCTCTTCATGTTATAAACCTCCGACTTCAGCCATTGCAAGTTTATCAACGCACTTATTTTTATGATCCCAACGAGTTGTGAGTAAATTTGAATAATTTCTATTTTCTCCCTTTCCCATATCTTACTATCTCATAATTTAAAAATCTATGTCTGACTAATAATTTTAAACAATTAATAATCATTAAATTTTTATTAATTACTATCAATCCTTGTCTCACCTCTTCTCCAGTCTTATTCCTAGTTCTTTATAATTCGCCTAGAATCTCCGCAAGGCGGTTCGTGAATAATTTACCTGTTCGTCGAGAATCTCCGCAAGGCGATTCACGAACATTTCCTTGTTCGTTGAGAATCTCCGCAAGGCGATTCACGAACATTTCCTTGTTCGTTGAGAATCTCCGCAAGGCGATTCATGAACAATTCCTTGATTTTCAATTCCTTTTAATTGCCTTTTTTGATTTATTTATCAACAATTCGTATTGTTTTCTATCTTTATATTTCGTTTAAGCCCTCCTTTATACATATTTAACTCTTCATTTCTATTTTTCTTTACTCCCTTTCATTTTCTTTTAATTTCCCATTCCTTGCATTATTAATATTTTTTTTTCTTTTTCTTTCTTCCCCTTTATATTATTTTCCTATGTATTATCACTACTTTGGGAGAAATCATTGAAATAGATGAATAATTTTCAAACTTAGACTTGGCGAATCTTTTATCTTAATTTTATTATTGTATTTTAATTTGGATCTGTGTTTCGCCGAATTTAGAAAATTTTAATTTTAACATACTCGAGAATATATACTCACGCACACATACTCACTCATGCATAACTACAACTGCTAAGATGTATTTTTCTTTCCTTATATTTTGTTTTATATAATATATGCTTTTTTTATTATTTAATGTAGAATTTAATTATTTAACCCGTTCTCTTCTCTAAACCCCGAGATCGCACTAGGTCCTATCCCGCGTAACAAGGATTAAATTCCTTTATCGAAATGGGACCACCGAACAAATAGGTGTAAAAACGCAGAGTTAAAGAGACCTTCGGTCGCTAACCTGTGTCAGGCCCTTCATATTTGTTCGATCTGATCCATACACACGCCCGAATAAAGTGTGTCACGGGGTAAGTTACTAAGTTACGTTCTTCCATACAGTCCATCTTTTCAGGGTATGGACGTAACAATATGAATAAAACTACATCACATTCAATTTATGTCATTTAGGAATGGTATATGTCAAACCGGTATTATAAGCAACCAAAAACAAATGGCAATTTTTTGTTTAATTTTATATATTATATAATTTACCATTAAAAGCCAGAAACAATCGCCTGAATGATATTCACTTAATTCTTTTTGTATGTTACACTTTATCAAGAATATTTCAATGTCCGAGAAAAGTGATCATCATATACTAAATATCAAATCTGACCGGAGTCATTCTGATAGTACTGTAAGAAATGAGCGGGAAGTCGATGAAGCGATACTTGCAAATATTTCTATCATCCCAGAATCTATTGGTAAGTTGCAGAAAAATGCATAAAACATTAATAACAAAATCTCTGATGAAAAAGTGTAAATATAATTTAAATTCAAGAGAAAGTGGAAATTAAATCTAAAAATATCTTCCAGTATTGAAAAGAATATAAATTCTAATTCTGCCCTAAAAAGAAACAGAAAAGCATAATATAAACATAATATTGTACATAAAAATTGTTATAATTTAAGATAAAATCAATTTTATTAATAAGTTACTCTCTTTTAAAGCAGTCGCAAATATTATACTTCTCACTTCTTAAGCTATAGGAATTTTTCGAAAAGTACTTATTATTTTAGTAAAAGTTATTTATTCGTTTTTGCCATGAGTTAACGATTACTTTTCTAAATCTTAAATGACGCAAAAAATTCTTATATTATTTTTTTAAGGATCAATACTGTGCTAATTTCCATATTTTGTATTTATATTTATTTTTTCTCTTTCCTTTATTTTCACATTAAATTGTTCTTTCTGATTTACTGAGATAATCCACTTAATCTTATATATAACTGTGTTAATGTGTACGATCTGAAAATCTTTAGAAAGCAGTTTGGACAAGCCAACATCTCTCAGAGCATTTGTACAATATGACAGTCAATTTACAGAAAAAGTAAACGACATTTTTGTGACATTGAGGTAAGAAATCTAAATTCTCAGTTTGTTGTCTTTCATTTTTCTTTCTTTTTCTTAAATTCAACTATGTAAATATATCAAAATGATAATTCTGTTATAATTTTGTTAAAATACAAAATGGCTCAAAATTATTTGAATTTATTATTTTAATTTATTTTAATTTAATTTTAATTTATTTTTTAATGACATCTCGAACATTGAAACGGATCTTGATAAGATCGAAACGTACGTATTTATTATTTTCTGTTCACTCGAATCAATTTTTTCAGACATATTTTTTATATTTTTATATCTGACTGATTATTAATATATTATGTCTCTTACTTAGAGTCTTTATTATTATTTCGACTTTTTTACGCTCTAACATCTTGCGCCACGTTCTTTTAGCCTTCCTTTTTATTTCGTTTTGCTAAAATTTTATGTTTTTACAGATGGAACCAACCAGAATTTGCCGATGAAATAATACAAGTGTACCAAGTGCAGTGTTCTTTCTTCGAGGACTTTAAAGAAACCTGCGACGATAAAAATATCACAGCTACAAAATTGGAGCACACGGTGCACAATCTATCATCTAACACGACATATTATTTTCGAGTACGTGCGCATACTAAAATTGTTGCTGGTCCTTACACGGATTTAATCAATGTGTCGACTACACATGAAAATCCAATACCTAAATTATTACTCATAACGGATCTAGATACGAAAATATTGGACGTGGATTTAAACGTTACTAATTTCGTAATGCAAGCGTACGTATACTAATAAAAAATAGTTCTAATTATCATAAATTTTTTTTAACACTAACTATAAAGTTAAAGTTATTATTATTATGCACAAGTTTATTATTATCAACATTATAGTAGGCATAACTATAAAATTAGAAATCTCGACTATAATTTTTTATCATACAATTATAATCTTTTCAGATATAGATCCATTGTTTTTGCAAGATATGTCACTTATTTGATACAAGAACATAGAATTTATTGGAGTAACGGAAAAGATCTACTGACATTGAAGATTAATGAAAATAATATCACAAAAATTGCTAGCTTTCCTAATACTCTACATAATCTCTGCATTGACTGGGTAGCAAGAAATTTATATTTCACCTATCAATGGTCAGGCTATTATATTGTAAAGTTTGACTTAACAATGTGGGAAAATGGCATAATTAAATTTAATGAGATTCTCGAAGAAGACATTCCAATCCATTATTTAAATGTATCACCGTTTATGGGGTACGTTTACTACCTGAAAAAATAATTTTCCATTAAAGATTTATGCAAATTTGTACTATAATTTTTCTATAATTTTACGAGGTTTTATAATTAAGATCACAAGTAAAAAATATAATAAGTTATTATATTATTATAAGAATTTCGAATTTTTACTACATACAAGTTTCTGTTTTTGTTAGAATAATGTTTTATAATGAATAAAATAATTACATATTTTTTAGAATTTTATATTATATACAATTATGGGGAAACCATTTCAAAATAATAAAAACTGATTACGATGGAATAATCGAGCAAATTGTTTCGATAAATGCATCTTTTTGCTCTTCAAAACTTTATCATGCTGCTCGAACTTTCAAAGATATGATAATTGATAACATGAATAATTAGGAACCGTCAATTTACTGGTTAAGTGATGATTACATATTTGTGACAGACATTGACATTTCTATGTGCAATACAATTTTACACAACGAAAACATGCGTGATAACATCCTATTCAAATCTATGACGATTGACAAAACAAACATCTACATTTTACCATTTCGAGAACATTATAAGGCCATGTTTCCATATATGTACGTTTTGAAAAAGAAATATGCAAGTCTCAAGAGCGTAAATGCAGCTGAATATGTTGAAAAGACAATAATAGAAAAATCATATCAAATGTTTTATAAAATTTATGCTTTTGATAAATCTGTACAACCATATTCTCCAGCTATATCAATGAGATGTCTGACACCTTATGAAAAAGTTTACAATTTTGAGAATGTGTCTGCAACGGCAAACAGCATCTTTGTAAATCTTCCGGAGCCGGTTGTAAAGAGTGGATGCAAAAGATATAATTTACCGACTACTATATATACTATCTCTGTAAGCCAGCATTGTGTAGACAAAAATCTCAACAAGTCTGAAGAATTCAATGTGCAGACGTACGAGCGATATTACGAGATTCAGAACTTAACACCGTTTACAGAGTATAAGTTGAAATTTACTTTAAAAAATGTTTACTTTGATCAATTATCAATAAATCCATTCGATTCGAATGTGATACCAATAAAAATTAATTCGGGCAAGCTTAATGCACCAGAAAACATAAGTGTTTTAGTTTTGACGCCTACTATAGCAGTAGTTCATTGGATGCCATCCAAGAAATTAAACTGTGCGGGCCTGACTTACGAAGTGCGTTGGACGTCAATTATATTTGTGAACGGCATACAACAAAAGAGCAAACAATTTATTAATATGCCGAAACGTATGGTAGATGGCAGATTTTTCACAAAGATTAACTTGTCGCTACCAGTACAAGATTACTTGATATACGTGCGTGTGTACCCAATTAATTCAAGCGATTTGTACAACGAGAGTTTAAGCAAGATCGTTCACATATCCTCAGAACCAAACAATATTACTTTGGACGAGGTCGACATAAATAGCATGATCATTTCATGGATCTCCAACATTAATCTGACGATCTTTTGTATACTGGAATACAAAGAGATTGCAGCAGAAAAGTGGCAAACAATGAAGAATTTTAAAACGAATTGTAAAGATAAAGTAATATACTATGTCAAAAATTTACAATCGGGAACTTTATACCAGTTTCGCTTGATATTGAGATATCTCGAATATGAGGAAACTTTTATATGGCCGGCTGATGAAAGATTTATTTTTTCAACACGTAGCAGCAAACGTGGTAAACAAATGAAAATACCCATACAGCACAATAAGGTTGCGGATATATTGAAGAATAATTTCATTGAAACATTGCAATATTGCAAATCGAATGCGAAACTTTGCTAAGTTATTGTCATAAGATTGTGGTAAAGTTAAAGTGTTCGCTTTTTGCAATGAAATATTGTAGCAATATTACAGTGTAATATATTGGAAAGAATGCAACATTATTGCAACTATTTAATAACATTACGTATAAAATATTTTTATTTTTGATGAATGAATATCTTGCAAACATTTAATTAAATTACAAAGCTCGATCTAAATACTAGTTTACGATATCTAATATATTGCAAAATTATATTTAAACATAACATCATATAAAATAAAATGTTATATTTTTATACAAAATTGCTCTAAACTATTACTTACGAATCACTTTTTTTATTTTAAATGTTCTATATACTCTTATAATGGGTATTTTATACACATTTATATATTTATTATAGAATTAATTAAACATTCCTAATTAAATTTTTATTTAAAAATTTAAAAAATCCGTTATAATTATATATATTTGCATGTGAAAAGTACAGAAAAATGCATAGAAAAATATAATGATAGATATAATAATATATATTCTTAATATAATAAAAAGATATATTATTTTTGAAGATTAATATCGTATTCGTACATGAAGTCAAAATATATCATAAAATATATTTTAACATTGATATAAAATGTTATCTATATTTTAATGAAAAAATAACAAGGCTCTGTAGGTTAGAATTACTTTAATTTACTCGATATTATTTGTGTCAATAATTCATTTGACTTCTGCAAAAAAGTAAAATTCATCGCATATATACAGATATAAAAAAATGTATTATTACATTATTTTTATAGATAAATTAAAGAGTGTTATAGTTTTAAAGTGTTTTCAAAATATGAATATCATATTATTAATATCTAATTCACACTTTATTAATTTATATTTCTACAATATTTCCGTAATGTTGTAATTTGTAATATTGCAACATTGTTGCAAAGTAGTTGTAATATTTTGTGCTGCATAGATTATAATATTATGTGCTGATATTTTTTCGATATGAATAGGCCTAAAATTAAAAAAAATTAAATCTTATAATAAAGTTATAAGTAAAAATAAATTTGTAAAAATATACACACACAAAGATATTAAAATTATACTTTTGCTTAATCTAGATATTCCGAGCACTCCTGGAATAATAGCGAATAAATATGACTTATTATTGATGTTAAGTTTCATGGTTATAGTTCCTATAATCTGCGTTTTCTACATTTATCGTTGTAAGTATATTTGATGTAGAAGTCGACTTGAATTGTAGATTATACATATATATCTGATATCTAGAGATTTACTGAAAATAGTAATTTGCTTATATAAAATTAAACGAATATATTTACTAAAAAACGTAAGTAAAATTTATAATACATATTATTACATAATTAAATTGAAATTTTATAATAGTGTATCGTCAACGCAGAGGTAATAATGAACAATTTTTGTCTTCAACAATGACCGATATAGAATTGGCGATTCTACATGAAGTACCTTGGCGAAACACTCTGGATGAATGTGCGATAACTAAAATTGCACGAAATCAAATAACACTTACAAAACATCTTGGTAGCGGCGCATTCGGAACGGTAAAAATTAATTTTTTTCAAGCAATGTTTCAAATTAATTTTTGGATTAACAAAACAGATACATATTTTCTAATAAAGACATAAATTGCATGAATTTTTATAATAAATTATAAGTAATATAAAATTTACGTGAGACAACAAGCATGCATTTTATTATATATTTTTTATTGAATTATTTAATATAAAGTAAAATATAATATTACTTGACATTTAACTATATTTTCTAATGAAGTACGCATGTAAATTTGTCTGAAATATTTTGCAGGTGTTTCAAGGAAAGTTGAAGGACTTAGAAAAATCGGGCACAGATATATCCGTTGCAATAAAAACGCTTCGAAAAGATGCTTCTTCCCATGAGAAAGAGAAATTGTTAAAGGAAGCCAAGCTTATGAGTCATTTTCAACACAAACATTATTAAGATTGTTGGGCGCTTGTTTAGATGGAGATTCTCCGTTACTAGTGTTGGAATTGATGGAAACTGATTTGTTAAAATATTTGAGAGAATGTCGAAATTTGCAATCGTCAGATTCGCATGCTCTGCGTTTGCAAGATTTGTTCGCCATGTGCGAAGATGTTGCGCGAGGTTGTTGTTACTTGGAAAAGTTGCGTTTCATACATAGAGATCTAGCGTGTCGCAATTGTTTAGTATCTTCGAGAAATCGCGAGAATCGTATAATCAAAATTGGAGATTTTGGACTAGCTAGAGATATCTACAAGGATGATTATTATCGCATGGTAAATACAATTATGAAAAAAATTGAATAATTAAAAATTGAATTCTTTTTAAAATACTTTCCATTTTTTTATCCTAATAGTATTCTGCATTGTTTCTTTAAGTAATATATAATATAAATAGTTATAAAATATAAATAGTTTTTTATATACAGCAAGAGATAAATGAACGTTTTTTATTTTGCACATATTCTAAAAATGAACCACTTGAACCAGAAAAATAAAATTTTGTTTAAATCATGGTTTAGGAAGGAGAAGATTTGCATCCTATTCGCTGGAAGGCACCCGAATCTTTGATGATCAGAAAATTTACTTCTCAAAGAGATGTTTGGTCATTTGGGGTATTAATGTGGGAAATTACATCGTTGGGTGAGAAACCTTATAGTGCCAAGGCTAATCAAGAAGTGATAAATTATGTACGTGCTGGAGGCAGGTTGCCGATGACTCTTAACTGTCCGTCACCATTGTACCAGTTGATGCTACGTTGCTGGAGTGCAGCGGATGCTAGACCAAATTTCGAATTTTGTCTGAAAAATATTATAGCATTAAGAAAGAACATAGAAGATGCCTTACTAAGTCCAGTCGATACTATTTAGCCGATATATTTAAATTAATGTTTATCTTATTTTCCAAACGATTCAATAAATCTTAATGTACAAAAAATATTTCTAGGATATTTCTAAATTGAGTCTGATCTGATTATTTTTAGGTTTAATTTTAATGTTACATGTATCAATGAAAATTGTTTTAATGTTACATGTATCAATGAAAATTTTGTAATCTTACTTTCCATACAATTTTGATTATTATTAAAAAATATAACATCCGTTTTCATGATTGTACAAAATCAAATAATATGATGATATATCTAATTTGTGTTTTTGAGTGATCAAAGCGAAATTTTATGATTGTGATTATATATATGTATATGTTTAAACAATATTTTTTTTGAACATAGTAATATAATTAATTTTCGACATTATATATGACCGATAATTACAAACTGATTGTAAAACTTATAAGTGAAAGAGAAAACGCGAATAATATCCTCTATAATTAATTGTGAATATATAAATATAATAATATATTTATAAATATAATAATATAATTATTTTTGAGTTTATAACAATTAACATATATGAATTTCTTACATTATTCGAGATAAGAATATAAATATATTATATCTTTTTATTTAATAACTTACTATATATTCAAATTATATTGATGATTAAAAAAGTACGCAGTTGTGAAAATGAACTATATTTATTGTTTTATCTCCAATAACTGTTTAATAAAGTTAATAATGTATAAATATATATTCACATAAAAGTACGGTCTATCATTTTGAAAAAATTCGTGCACGTATATATATCTTTGTTGATGAGTAATAAGTGTTTATAAATTTGTAAAATGTTTGAAAATACATCTATTATAATACATGAATTTAAAAAGAGATTGTAATATTAATGTTTATATTATTAAAAATATTCTTATGTAATATGTCTCTTTACCAATATAGAAACAATTATGTAGGATTAGTTATATGTACGTATGTTATATGTAGTGTGTGCGTGCATGTATATGTTACTATGTGTGTGAAATGTATGTCGGCAAAAAATACAAAAGATGCGATCGAAATGATATCAATTATCAAACGATTGCCGCGAGGCTTATTACGGAGATAAGTCTTCCTTTAAGAAACCGCGAGACTAGTTCGGAGGCGACCAGCGAAACTAGCGAAACGATATCAATTATCAAACGAGAGCCGCGAGGCTCATTTCGGAGATAAGCTTTCTTTTTGGAAAGCCGCACAAAGGATGCGGCATAAAATATAAATCCGAGTCCTGTGGCAGCAGGAGTTCAGTTCGATTCGCGCAGTCAAGCGAGCAACGTTAGCAAGTGCGGAACGTATTCTTTAAATAAATTTATTATACCTTATTGTGTGTGTTAATTGACGACTATCCCACATTTGGGGCCTCGTCCGAGCGAACAAAATTGTGCGAGGAGAACTAAATAAAGTGAGTCTTTTCGCGAAAATGACAGAAAAACTGCGAGAATATCGAGAGTAACAGCGACAAACAACTGTGAGACAAGTTGTGAGATAAACTGTGTAAGAAAATGAGTACGAGAAACCCAACAGATTTCACAGTGAATCAACTGAAGGGAAAATTGCAAGAGCCTGGCCTTTCCTTGGCAGGAAATAAAGCTGAATTAATCAGTCGATTGAAACAGATCCATCGTGCAAGTGGATAGAAGAAATTTCCGCAATGTCAGAAACCAGTGCAATTCAAGAAGACCAAAGCGAATCCGAAGCTAGGGCTCCGACGTCAATATCTCAATATGAACAAGAATTGGAAATATTTCGTCGAGAAAAAGAGTTAGCAGAACGAGAATTACAATTCGCGCGAAGAGAAATAGAACTGCTAAGAGAGATGCAACAACTAAGTACAGCAGAACGGGATTAAGGAACAAGACGAGAAAACACTTTGCATGATCTGTCGAAAGCCAGTATAACAGTTATTGTGGATTTACTTGGCTATTTTGAAGGCAGTACCGGAGATTATGAAATCTGGGAGAAGCAGTTTAAATTGTTAAAGGCAACGTATCATCTATCCGACGAGTATGTCAGAATCCTGATTGGCATGCGATTGAAAGGGAAAGCTTCAAGTTGGATGCACTCTAAACCGCAGCACATTGAACCGGTAGACGTTTTATTAAGCGAAATGCGAGAAATGTATGACCATCGTCCCAGCAGGATGCTATTAAGAAAACAGTTTGAAGAGCGTATATGGAAAAAAAAGAAATTTCCATCAATACGTTCACGAAAAAATAATCCTTGCTAATCATATACCAATTAGCGAAGACGAGATCATCGATTATATCATCGAGGAAATATCAGTGGTGAGCTTGAGAGACCAAGCACACATTGATAAATTTACAACGAAAGCATCGTTACTACAAGCATTCGAGAAAGTGACACTCAAAGACAAGATCCTGACGAACGGCGCAAAGAAGGAGGAACAACACCCTGTATATATATATATATATATATATATATATATATATATATAAAACAGAAACAAAGCAACGGAGCTCAGCGACATCGTGGAAGCGAAAAAACCGAGAAGAAAAATACAACGAAGATTGAGACCGAGAAACGTTGTTTTAATTGCGGACTGCGTAATCACGTGAGCGTGGACTGTCCAACAAAAACAGAAGGACCAAAATGCTTTCAATGCGGCGAGCGAGGTCATATCGCAGCAAAGTGTACAAAAAACAAAAATACGTAGGAAGTATCAATACCGATATACGTACTGTTTGTAAAAAATATAGTAAGAAAATAGAAATTAACGATCATAAAGTGCTAGCTCTTATTGACACCGGAAGTGACATATGTTTATTGCGTTCCGATAAGTACATTAAATTGGGTTCTCCTCAATTAAATCTAAAACAAATCCGATTTCGCGGTGTAGGCTCGAGCGATAATTCAACCTTGGGTGAATTTAACGCAAATTTGACAATAGATGGAAATAAATATCCTATTCTAATATACGTTGTGTCAGATGCACTTTTAAATTTCGAACTAATCGTAGGTACAGATTTTCTCAATAAAATCGAAATGACAATAACAGCGGGTAAAATCTTAATTAATCCGTTATCAGAACCTTCATGCGTAAACGAGAATACGCCTGTAATCTATCAAATCGATTTAAATTTTGAAGAGAATGACGAAATAGACTTATCGCATATAACAGATTTCGAATATAAAAATCAAATTAAAGATCTAGTTGCTACCTATAATCCTAATAAATCGCGAGAAATAGATCTTAAAATGACGATAGTACTTAAAGACGACCTTAAACCTGTCTACCAATGAGCTAGACGATTAGCATCAGAAAGAGAGCAAATAAATACACAAATAAACGAGTGATTATGCAACGGCATAATACTATACAACCATCGTTATCGGAATATGCGAGTCCGGTGGTACTAGCAAAGAAAAAAGATAATTCGGTTAGACTGTGCGTCGATTATCGATTGCTAAACAAGAAAATAGTTAAAGATCGATATCCATTACCAATTATCGAGGATCAATTAGATTTATTGCAAAACGCTAATTTTTTCAGCACATTAGATCTAAAAAATGGTTTTTTTCATGTTTTGATAGAAGAGCAAAGCCGAAAATATACAGCTTTTATAACCCCAGATGGTCACTACGAATTTTTACATGTTCCATTCGGCCTATGTAATTCCCTGGTCGTGTTTCAAAGATTCATAAATATTGTGTTCAGAGATCTTATTCGAGCTAAAATAGTATTAATATATATGGACGACTTGATAATTCCATCCTCGGATTGTAAAAATGGAATAGCGAATCTTAAAACAGTGTTAAAAACTGCGAGCGAAGCCGGATTAGTAATAAATTGGCGAAAGTGTAATTTTTTACAATCTCGAGTTGAATTTCTGGGTCATATTATTGAAGGCGGACGTATGTATCCATCTAAACGTAAAATAGAGGTGGTGCAGAAATTTCCTGAACCTTCTAAAGCGAAGCAAATGCAAAGTTTTTTAGGATTAAGCGGATATTTCCGAAAATTCATACCACAGTATTCTACTATTGCGCGACCATTAAGCGATCTATTAGAGGCAAATGCTAAATATATCTTTGGCGAAAAAGAAAGAGAAGCATTTATTCAATTAAAAGAAATGTTAATTAATAAACCTGTATTAAATTTATATATAATAGGCGCAGAGACTGAACTGCATACGGATGCTTCAATACATGGATACGGCGCGATACTCTTACAAAGAAGCATGAAAGATAATGCGTTTCATCCAGTTTATTATAGTAGTAGCAAAACTACAGCAGTCGAACAAAAATATCCGAGTTATGAATTGGAAGTATTAGCAATAGTCAAAGCACTTAAAAAATTCCGCGTATATTTAATAGGAATTCCATTTACAATTGTAACGAATTGTCGTGCATTCACAGCGACTATGAATAAAAAAGACTCGTGTGTGGGCGTAGCGCGTTGGGCGCTATTGCTTGAAGAATTCAAGTATAAGATCGAGCACCGACCGGGTAAAAATATGAGTCATGTAGACGCGTTAAGTCGTTATCCAATTTTAGAATGTAATGTAATCGATAGACGAAAAGATGGATTAACAATACGATTAAGAAAAGCACAAGAGAACGACAGTGATATTAAAAAAGTTCTCGATCGAGCAAAAACAAAACAAATTGACGATTTTGTAGTCAGGGGCAATTTACTTTTTAAAGAAATTGGCGGCGATTTGCGCGTAGTTGTACCGAAACCAATGCAGTCACAAATAATTCGACAGGCACATGAGAGAGGTCATTTCTCTATAGCGAAAACGGAAGCACTTTTACGCAATGATGGATTCCGAATATTAAAACTAAAATCGAAAAGATTATAAAAAATTGCGTCGCGTGTATCTTAGCTGAAAAGAAGCAGGGTAAGCAAGAAGGATTTCTAAACCTGATAGAAAAAGGGGAAGTTCCCTTAGACACTTATCATATTGATCATGTAGGTCCGTTTCCTTCCACTAAAAAGAATTATAAGTATATATATTTGTTGTAATAGATGCGTTTTCTAAATTTGTATGGTTTTATGCAACAAAAACTACAAATGCAAACGAAATTTTAGATAAACTAACAAAGCAATC